CGACCACGCCCCCAGCCCTCACTGGGAGGAATTCTAGGCGGGGCTCCACTCCGACTACGCCCCCGGCCCTCACTGGGAGGAATTCTAGGCGGGGCTCCACCCCGACCACAGATTCCTTTGCTTCCTGAGAGAAGGAGTCTAGGCTATCCAGGCTGGCCTCCTGTCTCTGCTTTTCTAGTAGGAGGATGACTGGTCTGTGCCAAGCGTCCCAAATTCACCCCCATTTTCTCTACAGTTTACATAATGAGGAATCCCAGCGTTTAGGGATTTCACACAGCCACTGGCACTCACGGTTGCCATGGCAGCTTCCACCTGCAGCTGCAGGCCCCTTCCTAGCTCCTGATTGGAGGTGTCACGTGTTTGAAAGCACCAATGAGGTGGTCCAGGGTCACCTGTTGCTCCCAGACTAGAAGAAGGGAGACCTGAGTGTTGGAAACAACAATCTGGTTCTTCATGTTAAGTAGACTCAGGATTTTCTTCAGACACACAAATCTAAGCAGTGTTAGGTGAGACTTAATGAAGGTTTTATTTGTTTTTCAATTTTTTGGTTTGTTTTTTCGAGACAGGGTTTCTCTATAGCTTTGGAGCCTGTCCTGGAACTTGCTCTGTAGACCAGGCTGGAACTCAGCACGTGGTTGGGTATGACCTTGAACTTCTGATCTTCCCACTCCCACCTCACCTTTGTTGGAAAAACAGGCACGCATCAGAGCACCTGGGTCAGTAATTTTGTTTCTTGATCTCGCTAACCCCTCCAACGAAAATTCCAGAGTTTCAGTGGGCGGCAGAGTGGGCAAGAGTCCATTTGTTCTGCCTAGAAACAAATCGTCCTGGGAGGTTAGGAATTGATGTATTCTGTAGTTAGTTTATTTTTAATAAATCACCATTGTGGGCTCGGGGCGTGGGAGATTCTCACAGATCGCTACTGAGCAGACGCCCACGGGCAGATGGAATATGCACGTTAGGTAGGTCATTTAGCAAGACAGTCCCTCGGGGAAGCTCACCCTGTTCTGTCCTGTTGTTACCCCCAGACAAGCATTCTGGGTACACACAAAAGTCTCCAAGTCACCCTAAGCTTGACCTACAGGCACAAAGTCAGATGTGATGGCTCCTCGCTCAGCCCAGCCCTCGGGAACAGTGCTCTGAGTTTACAGCCAGGACCATGGTACTAGGTGAGACCTTCCTAAGAGGTAGAGGCTGCAGGTGTGGCTGGGATGAGGAGTGGTTTCTGCTAGTCCTGGGGACCTGGGCTCCCTAGCCAGGACCCACCTAGTGGCTCACAGCTCCTGTAAATCCAGCTCCAGGGCAGCGGCGCCCCTTCCTGGCCTTTACAGGTACTGCACGCTTATAGCGTACATTCTCACACATAAACATAAGAATGAAAAGAAATGGATTTGGGCGGGCATGGTGGTGCACATTTTTAATCCCAGCATGCAGAACACAGAGCCAGGAGGATCTCTGCGAGTTCAAGCCAGCCTGGTCTACAGAGGAAGTTCCAGGACGAGAGAGAGAGAGACAGAGACAGAGACAGAGAGACAGAGATGGAGAGAGAGAGATTGGGAGAGGAGAGGGAGGGACAATAGTTTTAACTGAGGGTGTGATGTCAATTCCACTCTGTTTACCACCTAGTCCACTTCAGGAGGGTATGAAGGGTAAGGTCATGTGATCTAGGCCTGGCCAATGAGCTGTACACTGGGGCCTAGGTGGTGGGCACACAAAAACAGAAGGCATGGGGGCTGGAGAGATGGCACAGAGGTTAAGAGCACTGACTGCTCTTCCAGAGGTCCTGAGTTCAATTCCCAGCAACTACATGGTGGCTCACAACCATCTGTACTGAGATCTGGCGCCCTGCTCTGGCGTGCAGGCATACATTGAGGCAGAATGTTGTATACATAGTAAATAAATAAAAAAAAAAAACAGAAGGCGTGGTTTTTATTCTCCTAGTCACTGAGCTGTTGGGCTTCCTTTCTCCCTCGCTCTCTCCACTCTCCTTCTGAGATAGAATATCGTGTAGCCCAGACTGTCCTAGCTCCTGAAGCTGAACTTGGACTCCTGATCCTCCTGCCCCCACCTCCAGGGCACCAAGATGGCAGGGATGGCAGAGGTGTGGCCCCAGCTGGCAAAGGAACCCAGGGCCTCCACAGGGCGAGGCAAGAGATCTTGTTGGTTTTTGGTTTTAGCCTTTTCTAGACAAGGTTTCTTTATATTTAAATATTTATTTATTTATTATGTATACAACATTCTGTCTGTGTGTATCTCTGCAGGCTAGAAGAGGGCACCAGACCTCATTACAGATGGTTGTGAGCCACCATGTGGTTGCTGGGAATTGAACTCAGGACCTTTGGAAGAGCAGGCAATGCTCTTAACCTCTGAGCCACCTCTCCAGCCCTTTAGACAAGGTTTCTGTGTGTAGCCCTGGCTGTCCTGGAACTCCCTCTGTAGACCAGGTTGGCCTTGAACTCACAGAGATCCCCCTGCCTCAGCCTCCTGAGTGCTGGGATGAAAGCCACTGCCTCTGTTTATCCTTATTTTATGGGCGTAAGTGTATCGCCTGCATGTCTGTCTGTGCAGTGCAGTGTCAGCCAATCAGGGGTCTTAAACCGTAGAAATCCCTCACCCTAACTGAGCTTGGGGTCCTCAGATCACATCCATGTGTTGGAAACAGAGAGTTCGAATTTGAGTAGAGTAAAGGCTCTTTGCTTTTACTTTTTTTTTTTTTTTTTGGTTTTTCGAGACAGGGTTTCTCTGTAGCTTTGGAGCCTGTCCTGGAACTCACTTTGTAGACCAGGCTGGCCTCGAACTCACAGAGATCCGCCTGCCTCTGCCTCCCGAGTGCTGGGATTACAGGCGTGTGTCACCACAGCCCGGCAGCTCTTTGCTTTTACATATGGGACTTGGTTCCCTTGTTGGTTTTTGGAGGCTCTGTAGATCTGGGCATAACAGTAAGTGCTGGCTTGAAAGATGGGGTGGCAGTGTGATGGTTCCAAAGAAAGCGGGTACCAGACTGAGAGGCACTATTTGGAGGAAGTTTGTCACTGTGGAAGCGAGCTCTGAAGTCTCATAGACAATCCAGTGAGACAGCCTACTTCCGTTGCTCTCCCACCAAGATGTCTGCCTGCACGGCACCATGCCCCACCATGATGATAATGGACCGAACCCCTGAAACTGTAAGCGAGGAACCCCAGTTAAAGATTTTCCTTTATGGGGGCTGGAGAGATGGCTCAGAGGTTAAGAGCATTGCCTGCTCTTCCAAAGGTACTGAGTTCAATTCCCAGCAACCACATGGTGGCTCACAACCATCTGTAATGGGGTTTGGTGCCCTCTTCTGGCCTGCAGACGTAAAGACAGAATATTGTATACATAATAAATAAATAAATACATAAATAAATAAAAAATATTAAAAAAAAAGATTTTCCTTTATAAGTGTTGCCATGGCCACTGCGTTTCTTCACAGCAGTAGGAACCTTAACTAAGACAGGCAGGGACACACACACACACACACACACACACACACACACACACACGAAGAGGGAGAGAGACAGGCGTACACAGAGAGAATCCTTCCCAACAGCGGATGATCCCAGCTCATCCGCACACCGAGGACCACGTGGTCCTGAGCAGGACTGAGGCTTTGAGCACTGCATTGAGGGACCTCGCGGACACTGTAGCCCGCACAGTGTGGGACCCCATGACGGGAAATGATGAGTTGGTGGGGACCTTGGGTGCTGGGGTAGAGGAGGAGGAAGCTGGCAGCCGTGCCTACAGAGCTGTGCTGAAGAATTGTAACCAAAGGGCAGACTGTAGCTCAGCAGCGGAACACCTCCCTGGGCTCCACTTTCCTCCTGTTTCTACTGCTCCTCTTCCACACCCCACCCTGCTCCATGCAGATCCCTTCCCCCCTCCAATCTATGCCAAGGAAGGCATGTGGTCACATGACCTTCATATCCAGAGCACCCACCGCCTTTTCTTGATGAGGCCCTCTGCCTCTGCTCCCCAAGTGCTGGGATTAAAGGCGTGTGCCACCACTGCGCAGCTGGCCCATCAGCTCTTTTAACTCAGTCTAACCTGTTTCTCTTCATCTACGTTTGCCTCAGTGCTTTTTACCTTTCATTCTGAGTCCCACTTTCCTGCTTGTACCGTGTCTGTCTGTCTGACTGCCCCTGGTGTCTCTTTTTTCTTCCTGAGCCCAAGTTCCTCCTCCTCCTACTTACTCTGCCTGCGTGGAAGTCCTGCCTATACCTCCTCCCTTGCTATTGGCTGTTCAGCTTTTTATTAAGCCAATCAGGGGCCTTAGGCAGGCAAGGTGAAACAGCAACACATCTTTACATAATTAGACAAATGCAACATATCTTTGCATAGTTAAAGACAAAACATCTCTGCATCGTTAAACAAATATTCCACAAGTTCCAGGCCAGCCTGGGCTACAGGTCACTCTGATTTACAAACAACAACAGCAAAAAGCTGGAGAGAGAGCTCAGTAGTGGAGGGCACTTGTTGCTCTGGCAGAGGAGCCAGATTTGAGTCTCAGCACCCACATGGTGACTCACAACGATCTGTAATTCCAGTTCCAGAGGTGTGGTGTGGGGTCCTGACACCCTCTCCTGGTCTCTACAGACACTAGATGCTCGTGTGATGCCCAGAGGTGCATGCAAGAGCATTCATGCACAGAACACAAACGAATCTAAAATAAACAAGCAAAAAGAGATAGACGCCAACTTACAGGAACATGGTTTTTTTAATGCTTTTATTTCTTAAAGAAAATCCAACAGGGCCCAACAAAATTCTATCTTAGTCATACCATAAATCTTATTTTATTTTATTTTTGTTTTTTTCAAGACAGGGTTTCTCTGTGGCTTTGGAGCCTGTCCTGGATCCACCTGCCTCTGCCTCCTGAGTGCTGGGATTAAAGGCGTGTGCCACCATCACCCAGCTCATACCATAAATCAAAGACCCCAATGTGTCCACCCTCCATGGATGCCAACTGTAGAGCAGAAGCAGACAGAAGCAGATAGAGCCCAGGTCTCCAGCACTGACATGCAGAGGTTCAGTCAGACCTTCTGACTCATCTGACACTGTGGAGCAGGTGTAGTGCATGGCGCAGGTGCTGGTGGATGGCGGGAGTGCAGCCATGACTCCGTAGGACGTCCAGTGAGTAGGAGCTGCCCGTACCTGGCCTTCCCAGCTCCCAGAGGGTGAGCAGAAAGCCTTCACCTTCCCCACTCAGCACCAGCTGGGTTTGGGACGTCCTGAGGCTGACCTGGGAGAGAGTGACATTAAGATCACAGTGACCAGAGTCGACCATGCTGGCCCCGGTTCTGACCCTGCGGGTGAGCACAAACACTGGTTATAGGATCTGCACCTGTGAGAGTCAAGATTGGAAGCCAAGGGTTCCATGAAATCAACAGAAATGGTCTCAACTGGGGATCCCACCCCACCCCTCAACCCGGTACCACAACCTTTCCTTCATTCTCTCTCCTTTCATTTTAATTTACTACTTGTGTATATTCGTGCATGTGTTTGTCACGGCACACACGGAGCCATCAGAGGACAACGTGCTGGAGTCTGCTGTCTGCCATGTGGGTCCCGGGGGCTGAACTCGGGCCATCAGGCTCGGAGGCGAGCACCGTTAGCAATGAGCCCCTCGCCTACCCGTCCGAGTCTCTTTCATTCTTCTTGTTTTCCTTTGACTGGGTAAAAGGCTGGCTTCAAAGTTTCTATGCAGCCAAGGATGATCGTGAACTCTCGAGTCTGTCATTCATGCCTCCCTATACCCAGAGCAGCCACAGGTTTGAAGGTTCGGGCAGACACTCAGCAGTGACTCTTCAGGCCACTCGGCTCCATCCCACATCCTCTCTGGTTCTGTGCCCCCTCGACTTCACTGTGCCCAGAGACCCAGGATTCCCTAGGGCAGGGAGGCTGCTGTCTGGCTCTGACTGGGCTGAGGACACAGGATGTGACCTCTGATTCCATATTCTTTCAGAGGTCACACAGTCCTGAATGCTGTCAAAGCCTGGTATCCTGGTTGCTTACCTGCACGGTCCCGTTGCTAAACAACATGACCAGTGCCTGGGAATCGGCAATGAAATTCAGCAGAGAGAAGTCAGGTGAAGCGGGTGCCACAGCCATGGACACAGTCCCCTCCTGTGGGGACATGCTGGTCAGGGTCCTCCGGATGGACACCTCCCTCTCCTGTTCCTCCCCACACTCCAGGCCCTCACCTCCCTCAGACGCCTCTGCATATAGCAGTTAAAGAGCCGCAGGACAGCCAGCTTGGCACGCAGCGGGCTGGGGACATCCCTCAGGGCAAAGGTCCACAGAGTCCCTTGGTCAGGTTGGTAGGAGACATGGCTGGGGGCCAGGGACCTGATGAGTCTCTGTCCTGATGACCCATGCTTGGGGGGTTCCTCCCTCATAGCTGTACCTCATTGCTACCCAAGCATCACTGTACTGCATATAACTCTGGCCGGTGGTCAGTCAGGGCACTGGCCACCCCAGGAACACCTCTCATAGGCCAGCTACATCAGGTTCAGGCTCCTCATCTGTCTCCATAGAAACGGCCACTACCCTCCTGGCCAGCCCAGCGGCCTCTCTGACTGGCCGCCTCTCTCACTCCAAGAACACTATGGTAAAATACCAGTGCTTGGGAGGCGGGCTCAGTAGCAGAGGACACCCCCAAAGTTCTCGGTTCCATTCCCAATGAAAAGAAATAGAAATGAGCCGGGGGCCAAGGGAGTCAGCATGAGAACCTGAGTCGGGGTCCCAGCACCCAGGTAAGAGCCAAGTGGGGTGGCAGAGGCAGGAGGATCCCTGGGACTCACTGGCCAGCCAGCCTAATGGAAATGAGAACCCCTATGTCAGGAATAGGAGGAGGAGCCATTGAGGAATGCGGGTATGGGCCTCTGGCTTCTTCATGCACACAAGATCAGGCCGGCACACAGTGTGAGTCGGTTCCACATTGCTGAACTCAGCCTGATGCGGTCTGACGTCACCTCCTTTGTGTTCAGAGACATTGTGTTTCCCTGCCTGAAGTAGCCAAGAGTGGCCTTGAACTTGCTCTGTAGCTAGTTCTTGAACTGCCTCTGTAGCTGAGGGTGGCAATGAACTCCTGATCCTCCTGCCCCTAGCTGAGGTGCTGGGATGACGGGCGTGGGCCTGTTCACACCCTGGTGGGGAGGGAACCCTGGGCTTTGTGCCTGGCAGGTGAGCGCTCTTGTCTACTGAGCCACCATCTGACTTCTCCAGGAACATGGCTTCCCCAGGGACCCCCTCTCCCACCTCAACTGGTTTTCGTCATGTGGTAAAGAACAGGAAACCAACTCTGTCGTTTGTGTTACCAAGCTCTCCTCCTGGTGGACACCCCATAAACAGGTGATGAGAGGTGGGGTAGAACTGGGTCCCTGGGGATAGGAGTCCCAGCAATTACCCTCCTTGGGGGCGCAGCGCCATGTGGGAGCCATCCCGAAACAGCACGCCACTGCCCCCGTTGGACAGTTGGTAGCCAAAGCCGTACTTGAGGGAATAATCCACCCACTTGGGAGCCCAGAGGACAGGCCGCTGCTCCCCTGGGGGTTCCTGGGCAGCTGAGCAGAAGGGGAGAAAAAAAGAGCCAGGGTCAGGTACTGGGCTGGGAGGGGTAGGATGAGGAGGGGCTGGGTTGGGGAGGGAGGGTCTGGGTGGGGTTTTGCTGGGCTGTGTTGGGGTGGAGTTGTGGCTGTTGCTGTGGCTGTGGAGGGAGCTGAGCTAGGGTGAGGATGCTGTGGGCCTGGGCTAGGCCCTTCAAGGCCCCCTCAGCCTCCACTTTCTTCTGGCTGTCCTACCCACAGGTCCTGCATCCAGGCATAGGTGCATTTTCCTGGTTGCCGCCTCCACCTGAAGAGCCCAGCTCCCCTTTGGGTCTGTTAAGACAGAGTCACATAGGTGCCCAGACAGCAGTGAACATCCACCAAAGAGGGGGTCCCCTCCCTCTCCCATCAGCCAGGTCCCACCCCTTCCCCCTCCCATCAGCCGGGTCCCACACCTGCCCTCCCGAAAGGTCTCATATCAAACCCTGACTATTCCCAGGCGTTTGTTAGGTTTTACAGGTGGACACACTGAGGCCAGCCGTGGCTGTGGCCCTCATCAGGACACAGGAAGTCCCTATTACGAGTCCTCGGCATCTGCCCCCGGCGAGGCTCTCTGCTGCTCACCTGCTAGGTTGGTCTGCAGGGTCCCGAGTGTGAGGAGGACCGGACTCTCAGCACAGAGAGGAACCCTGTCCTGAGACAGAGGTGTTTGGAGAGAGCAGAGGTTAATGTACCTCCCATTCTTGAGGGAGCCCCCAGAGCCCAGCACCCCACTTTACACAGAGAACAGGTTTCCTCTTCAGACAAAACTTGCCTGCTGCACAAACTCATGTAGCAAGCACTCAACAAATGCAATGAAAACTGAAGTGAGCAGGGTTCCGTGGTCTCCAAAGGTTAGGGTGAGGGACAGCTGGGACTGGAGCTGTAGCAGCCCCAGTGAGGGGGCTGTGGGCGTGGTCAGGGTGGATTTCAGCCTAGAATCCCCCAGTGAGGGGCTGGGGGCGTGGTCAGGGTGGAGCCCCGCCTAGAACCCCCAGTGAGGTCTCTAGAGTGGAAGGAAGCAAGTTGCTTCAGTCCTGGGCTTCAGGAAATTCTAGGCGTTCTTCCCGGTAACCCTCACTGAACTGCTCACCTCATTGCTGGACTCCAGGTGGTCAGGTTCGGTCCCTTCTTCTGCAGGGCTTGAAGGCTCTTTTGAGGTAAAAGGACCTGAGGGAAGCACAGGTTTGGAGAACAATGATGACAATCGCTCCTGCCATCCTCTCCCACCTTGGTCAGGCAGGTGGAAGGGAGACAGATACCAGGCCTGAGGCAGGCGAGAGGCTGTGACAGGCTAGGGGACAGCTACTCACAAGGTGACCGGCACTGGGTCAGCAGGAGCTGGCCCACTTTGCGGAACAATCTGCCCAGCGGTGGTGGGAAGGCAAAGCCGGGCGGGCTGTGGCAGGAATGTGGAGGCAGCCGCTCTGGAGTGAAGCCCTTGGGAGTCAGTGAGCTGGGGTCAGCCCTGGATCTAGACGGTCCCTGGACCCCAGGGGCTCACCCGGGGGATACCCCCTCACCTGAGTAAAGAAATCGTCCTGGAGTACGTGGTCCAGGCTGGGCCGCTCAGCAGGGTCGGGTGCCAGGAGCCGCGCGATGAGGCTGCGGGCGCTGGGAGACAAGTGAGCGGGCTCGGGGTAATGGCCTTCCCGGATACGGCGGTACATCTCCGACAGGGGCGCTGCGGCGAAGGGGGGCGTGCCCGTCAGCACCATGTACCTGTGCCGGGGCAGGCGGGCAGAAGTGAGCTCACACCTTTGTCTACACACCTGGCCACGCCCAGTCCACCCCAGACTCCACTGCCCCTGCATCATCCCTGCCCAAGACACACTCCACCTGGCTGACCCCCACCTGCGTCACCTCCCCAGGGCTAGCAATGACAAGTGTGCACTGCCATGCCTGGCTTGTGTGGTCTGGGGATGGCATCTGGATTTCATGCGTGCTCAGTTTTACCAACGGAACCCTAGCTGCAGCCACACTTGAATTTAATTGGCACCCAGGATGGGACAAGAAATCCAAGCCTGGACATTAAGGGCCAGGTGCTCACTGGGTGAAGAGGCAGGCATCTTTACTCTCAGCACTGGGAAAGCAGAGGCAGGGGGATCTCTGTGAGCTCAGAGCAAGTCTGGTCTACAGAGGGAGTGCCTGCTCTAGCTAACACGTGATCATCTGTTGTGTGCATACACACCCACCCCAAGCTCGCTCTCCTTGCCCACACCCGGTCTCCCCGGGGGGCCCCCACCACCTCCCCCAGACTCGGTCAGCCTCCCTCTTACATGACACAGCCCAGAGCCCAGATATCAGACTTGCAGGAGTGTCCGTTGCGGGACACCACCTCAGGAGCCTGGAAGTTTGGGGTTCCGCAGAGCACCCTGGGAGGGAACCATGAGAGGTTCAGGAAGGCCGGCCAGGACTTCCTGGCCCCACTCAGGACCACCAAGACCTCCCACCTTTACCTGTGGCAGTGACCGGTGGGCCCCACCCGGGCAGCCAGCCCTAGGTCTCCGATCTTCACCTCCATGTTCTTGTTAAGGAAGAAGTTACCTGCGGGTGCGGGGAGCGCGGCATGGGAACATTGTAGCCCCCAGCCCTTCGCCACCCTCGCAGCACCCCAAAAGTCCCTTCCTCATGCTTACTGGGCTTCAGGTCCCTGTGCACAATGCGATGCTGGTGCAGGTAGCGCAGGCCGCTGACCAGTCCCAGAAGGTAATAGCGCACCTCAGGCTCCGTCAGCGTCCTCCGTGCCTTCAGCACGTGAGCCAGGGACTGCGGGCGGGCGGACTGGGCACTCAATAGATGGGCTGTGGACACTGTGCATACACCCGAGCCCAGGGAAACCCCGCTCGGCCAGGGCAAGCACGGCTGAGCTGTGTGGGCCTAGGTGGGGACAGGGGATGCTAGTGACTGGACAGAGGGCAGGAAGCGACATGGCGTGGGCACAGGGAGACACCGGTAGTTACGGGGACCTAGAGACACAGACAGGACAGACAACAGGCCTGTCTGGCTCTCAGTGGCCTGACCCAGGCCTCACCCCAGTCACCCCCTCAAGCAACAGGGGGCTCAACACAGCTCAACACCGCCTGGTTTAGCGAACCCAGAGCCGACACACGAAGCCCCCCCCCCCACCAGGCCCACGGCTACCTGGCGGCTGCAGTACTCCAACACCATGTACACGTGGTCGCGGTCTGCGAAGTGTGCGTGGAAGGCCACGACGTTGCGATGGCATAGACGGCTGTGCAGGGCGATCTCACGCTCCACCTGTGTCCCCATGAAGGTCCCTGAGTGCGGTGCAGGCGACAGGCCCCAGGCCTGGCTCGCTCACAAGGAGGGAAGCAGGGCAGCCCTGGGACAGGTTTTGGGCAGGTGTGTGTGTGTGTGTGTGTGTGTGTGTGTGTGGTGGCTGGCTCACCTTCCCGCGCAGGCGCAGCCGCCCCGCCCCGCCTCTTGGCACCACCTTGAGGGCGAACACCGCACTGGTGGACATGTCTGTGAGCTTGTAGCAATGGCTGAAGGCTCCCTGCAGAGGACAGGAGACAAGATGCAGACAGTGGGCCACACCCAAGACACAGGCCTGCTACAGACTCAGCCAAGGCTCCGCAGCTGTCACACCCAGACACCCCACACCACAGTCCCCTGCCAAAGAGATGAGACCCACAGACTTTGTCAAAGCAGGAGGCCCATGAGCTCTGTTGCACAGGACAGTGAGGGACCCATGACACCCAGAAACACAGCACCCCCCCACAGCATCCACACACACACACAGCATCCACACACACAGCATCCACACACACACAGCATCCACACACACAGCATCCACACACACAGCATCCACACACACACAGCACCCACACACACACAGCATCCACACACACACAGCATCCACACACACACAGCATCCACACACACACAGCATCCACACACACAGCATCCACACACACAGCATACATACCCAGTACTTCCACCTACAAACACAGCGCCCTCCTACCGCCTTGACACACATCCACAAACAGAACTTCCACACACACCTACAAACAGCATACCCCCACTTGGATCATCCACACACAGCACCCATATACAAACCCAGTCAGACACCCCCACAGCAGGTCCACACACAGCTACACGCACAGCACCCAGACTGACAACACCCAGACACACGCACACACAACACACACCCAGACAAACTATCTGGACACACAACACCCAGACTCAGAGCTCAACACCCTCCAGCGCCCTTGGCCACCAAGAGAGCAATCCCCAGTCGCAGCCAGGTAGACAAGTGGGTGCAGGGCACAGACCGCACGGCTGCTCAGCACCCACCGCGGGGGGAAGTGACAGCCTCGCCATTGCATGTGGAGCACCAGTTGTGCACCCATGGGACACTCAGTGCCCGGCTAACGCGGGCGACCGCACTCGCCCCGCACACGCCCGCAGACAGCGCGCCAAGTGCGGTTCCCACCTCGCCATCTGCCCTGCAGCCCGGACCCCAAACTCAGGGAACCCGAGGCGCCAATCATCGCGCGTTCATTCCCACCCAGCCCTCGACCCTTCCAGCTCTCCCCCTTCTCGCGTTTTGAACTCGGGTGTGTGTGAGCGCGCGCGGGAACCCCCACCTTGCCGATCAGTTTCCCGCGCCGGTACACGCGCCCTGAGCCCGGGTCGCGCAGGAAGGCGGCCACCAGCTGGCGGCTCCGCCGCCGCCGCTGTGACCGGGGCTCCATCTGCTGGGGTGGGCCTGGGCGCACAGCGGGCGCGGGGACTGCGCAACCCACTGCCGCCGGCAACACTGCTGCTCTGGGCCCGCGAGCCACGGGAGCCGAGCGGCGGGTCTTATCGGAGAGTGGGGGGCGGGGCGGGGCCCGGACACCCAAGGGATCCTGCCAGCGCCAGCAGGTGCTCTGGAACAAACCCGGAGCCAGGCTCACTCAGTTCTGCCGCGCTCCCATCCCTGTGCCTTCTAGGACAGCACTCGGTTCACCCATTGGAGAAACTGAGGCCCAGTGGACTTGGCTGGTTTATTTGCAGAGAAGCCCGCCCCAGGAGTCTGTCTGGGGTGTATGGAAGACCTGAGGCTGGTGGACCAAGTGCATCTGGCTGAGTCCTCCCTACAAGACAGAGCGCCGCGGCCTGTGGGACTTCATCAACTTGGGCACTGGGAAGCCACAGCAGGATTCAGAGGGAGGGCAACCTAGAGAGGTTTGGTGACATAGGGACCAAAGACAAAGGGCTGGAAGGCTAAGGGCACAAGTGAAACACCGTGGGGTGGGGTGCCACGGAAGAATGGCAACCAGGATGAGGGGCAGAAGGTGGGCACTGGCTGTGATAGCCGAGTGAGAATTGACCTTTAAGATGGAGGTGGAGGCTTAGATGCGGCTGATAGAAGAGATAGCAAGCTAGCCTGGAGACTCTTCAGAACCTCAGGCAACCCCTCACCAGAGCCAACCCTCCCGTCCAACACCCCTCTCGTGCTGCAAGCAGCCATTTCTGCACCACAAGGATGTGGGTCCCTGGGCACCACCACCGTGTGCTGGCTGGGAGTCCCCTCAGTCCCAAAGCCAGGCAGGCACAGGGCAGGCTGTGAGCCCTGCCATCTGCCTGTAGTATTAATCCCTGAATGTTACATAACACAATAAATGGGGACGGATTAGCTTGACTACCAGCGGCTGGATTCAGGTTATGGAATTTTCCAGAGGCAGGATTTAGAATCTAGCCTGGCTCTCTGGCTCGTGCCACCGAGGGGGACAAAAAACATCCCTCGAGTGCTCATATCTAACTCTCCCCCGGGAGCGTTCGGGAGTCGCTCCGTGTATCTTGTGGAAAGCGGCTCATACAAGTTACTGGTGTCTCCTTTGCAGGTGGGGTGAGGGTCCCTGGTCGTCAGCAGCAGCCAGAGAGTCCAGAAGCCCAGATAACAGGAAGCTGGTGCGGGTGGGGGTGGAGAGGGGGTGCCCAGGCACCCAGTTCCCTCTCTCTAGCCCACCCTCTTCCCGGGTTGGCTCAGTCCATTGTGGGCTGAACACCTACTGTATTTGCTGAGTATCTTGCGGTTGTGTCCCAGGTAGCCCAGCCTAGCCCCTGTAAAATGATTCCATGTTTAAAAGCTATAAGGAGTTGGTTCAAGGTTCAAGCACATGGAGGAAGAAAAAAGGGTTGGGGGCGTGGGTTTGTGATGGTTGCCTGGGACACTGCTAGCCAGAGTTCTATTCCTGGGACCACAGTGAAAGGTGTTCTGTGACCCCCACGTATGTGCTGAGCCTTCTCATGTCCACACTCAGACAGACAGTAAAAATGACAAAATTTAAAACACAGTTTGGGGTGCAAGACAAGAGTTACCAGGTTTTTTCCCCTGCTGTGTGCTATTCATGCCCCAAGTGGCAGACATGGAGGCTCCCGCAAGCTCAGGGTCTCCCAGCGTGGCTCTCAGGTGGGGCGGACCCCAAATATCTGACGGCTGTACTTTTGTCTCCTGGTTTCCAGCCCCAGGGAGTAGAGACAAGCGCTTGGGTGAATGGCTAAGTCCACAGAATAACAGAAACTTCCTGGGGAAGAAGGAACGGAGTTGCTGGCCTGGAGCCCTGGAGCGTGCTGATCTGCTGATGTCTCTCTCCCCGCTCCCCTGGCTGCTCCTGTGGTGTCTCTAGCTGAGTCTGCACCTGAGAGCTGGGTGGCCTCCTCCCAGCCTGTGCCCCTCTGAGGAAGGGTACCCCACCTCAGCCTGGTCCAAGACACTCTTGGTTCTCCTGAAAAGCCTCTGACAACGTTAGGAGGAGGAGTTGTAGGATGGGTTTGGGGGTCTCCTTTGGGGGTGGTGGAAAATGTCTAAGTGAAATTATACCCCAGGATCACTGTGCGGTGGTGAACAAAAGATGTAAACTTTGACATGGGTGTGTGCCTCATGCTCATTACAAGGCTACGGGGGTTGTGGTTTCGGCTGCTCAGGGGTTAAGGCAGGAGGATTGTGAGTTCCAAGCTACCTTTGATTACAGTGTGAGTTCAAGAGGTAACCTGTGATAACTAAGACCCTGACTCAAAAACTCAAAGAAGCTGGGTGATGGTGGCCCACACCTTTAATCCCAGCACTCAGAAGGCAGAAGCAGGTGGATCTCTGAGTTCAAGGCCAACCTGGTCTACAGAATGAGTTCCAGGACAGCCAGGGCTACACAGAGAAACCCTGTCTCAAACAAAACAAAACAAAAATTAAAAACCAATAATAACAAAAAACTCAAAGGAAAAAAAAAAAGATGGACAGAGACACACACATGTCCCAGCAGCCAGAAAGACACAGCAGTGTCCACGAAGGCATGACGGACACGTGGTGAGGCCCATTCCCACGCTGGAATAGTGCGCAGCCAGGAACAGGACTGAGATGGCGCCCACAGCACGGGGGGGCTCTCGGGGACATGGTAGACCCAGATGCAATGTGGCACTCCAGGACAGGAAATGCCCAGAGAGAGGAAGTGGGTTTGTGGGTGCATGGCAACAAGGAAGTTCTGGATATGAATGGCAGGGACAGTTGCACAGACCTGGGAAGGAGCCCTGCACTAAGAAGAAAAATGCCTGTGTAGGCCAGGGTGGCCTTGAACTCCCAGCCCTCCTGAGTTCTAGATGACAGACATGCACTACCACACCTGGTAAAAACTGGCCGCCTTTACATTAGGCATTGTCACCGAGCTCCCACAGCCCGCATCTTAGGCCTGCCGCGCCCCAAGCCCAGTCCTGTTCCTTCCTGTCTCTGTGCTTTTGCTGACCTGAAACAACCCTTCGGACTCAGCAGATCTCTCTGGAGAAGTTTTAGGAAGCTTTGCTCAAAGCGCCTGCTGCAGGTGAAGGGGGTGGTTGCTGTCCGCCACTGCATCTCCCCAGAGACTCTCAGGGCTTGTGTGTGGGTCCCTGAGGTGGCCCAGGCCTCCCAACCACATGACTGAGGAACGGTGTGCTGTTCCTATCTGGGTTCCACGTGGCTGCACCCGTGAGCTCTCAGCCACTCACGAAAAGTCCCCAGAGACTTGGAGTCCCAAGCACAAGGAGGCAGGAGGGAAGCGACTATCCTGAGCACCTCAAAAACCCCAGGATCTGGGCAAAGTGACCCGGCGTGAGCATGTGTTAGAGGGACACCCAATGCGCTGACTGCCCAGGAAGGTGACTTTAGCAGTGGCGGTGGGGACGGGCTGGCACGAGCCACTCATGCCCCTCCCACATGTCACTCTGAGCCCCTCATATGCAGAGCCTGAAGCAAGGGCTCCACTCAGTCCTCAGGGCCACTGAGTTTGGAACCCAACTGGGGACTGAAAATTGAGGAAACTGAAGAAAGGACCAGAAGGATGGCCTACCTCTGAACCCATCCCCTCTGGCCAGCGGCTCTGCCCTGGATGTCAACTGTTTTCCTGTCCAGTTCAGAACTGCCAGGAAGGTCTCGACACTGTGGCACCCTCAGGGTTGGACCAAGTCAGCCCCATGTGCCCCCCACACCACTCCTACCCCAGGGCTTTTGCACACACACCCAGCCTTCCCTACCCTGCGCCTTTGCACACACACACACCTCTCCTACCCCAGGATCTTTGCACACACACCCAACCTGTCCTACCCCAGGCCTTTGCACACACACCCAACCTGTCCTACCCCAGGCCTTTGCACACACACACACACACCTCTCCTACCCCAGGGTCTTTGCACACACACCCAGCCTGTCCTACCCCGGGGCCTTTTTGCACACACACACACACACACCTCCTACCCCAGGGCCTTTGCACACACACTCAGCCTTTCCTATCCCGAGCCTTTGCCCAGTCAGCCTTTCCTACCCTGGGCCTTTGCACACACACATACACACACACCTCTCCTACCCCAGGGTCTTTGCACACACACCCAGCCTGCCCTACCTGGGCCTTTGCACACACACTCAGCCTGTCCTACCCTGGGCCTTTGCACACACCGTTGCATTTCCACAGAGCACTCATGTCTTTCCAGGACAGCCCAGAACCTACAACCTACAGATGGATGCTGGACACACACTGTGCCCCACCCACACTGGAATAGCATACAGACACAAACAGGAGTGAGGCTCCCCGGCACATGCTGGAGGATCAAGAACAAAATTCCCTGGGCTGGAGAGATGGCTCAGTGGTTAAGAGCACTGGCTGCTCTTCCAGAGGACCCAGGTTCAGTTCCCAGCACCCACGTGGCAACTCTGTTTGCTAGCCCAGATCCAGGATCCAACACCCCACACAGACATAAATGCAGAAAAAGACCAATGCATGGAAAAAATAAGATGAAAAAAAAAGAAAAATAAAGTAAAATAAAAAAACCCAATTCCCTATTCCTGAAATGTCTACTCAGACTTTTTCTTTGTTTTTAAATTTTATAGTTATTGAATTTTTATTTTATTTTAGTTCTGCATATGTCTGGGTATGGGTTGCACGAGCTTGCGGTCACTCATTCCCCTGGATTCCCCCAGAGCTGCTCAACATGGGTACTCGGAACTAAACTCGAGTCCTTTGCAGAAGCAGGAAGCGAGCCATCTCTCCCTCTCCCCCTCCCCCCCTTCTCTCAGACAGGCGCCTTGACTGTCCTGGAACTCACAGAGATCTGCCTGCCTCTGCCCTCCGAGTGCTAGGATAAAGGACTAGAGTCACCACTGCCCAGTCCTGAAATCTTGCTTATTGTCCCCAAGTGGTTCTACCAGCAGCTTCAAGGTCTGATTTGTCCTTGAGCTGCTCCCGAAGGTCTGAGTCATCCATGTTCCTGCTGACAGGGTTGGTGTCCTCAGAGGACCTGCATCCTTGGTGCCACTGACCAGCAAGTGGGACTCCTGCGGCACAGGCCCCGCCCTGCATCCTTCCTCCTGCCGGACATGGCATTGACCTCTAAGCAGGGACATTGATCCCCTCGCTGAGCAGGGTGCTGTGTGGAGATTGGAACTAGCCAGGCTTCTGCAGGAGCCATCTGTTTTTGTCTGTGTAGGTCTTTTCGCTAATGGCAAGGAAAGAGCTGAGTTTCAGTATAGACGGGGGTAGGCAGATGATGGGGAAGGAGTGAGCCAGGAAGGAAGCACATGCCCGTCCAAGTGGAGGTATGAAGATTCCCAGTTTAGGGTCAGGGTCACCCTTCACTACAGAAAGAGTCAAAGCCCAACCAGGGCAACTTGAGACCCTGTCTCAAAACAGTGTGTGAGACACACAGCTATAACCCCAGCGCTGGGGGGGGGGGGGCTGGAGCCGGGAGGAGCGGGGCGGGGGGAGCCGGGCGGGAGGAGCGGGCTTCCTGGCCAGCCTAGGTGAATCCAAGAGTTCAGGGAGAGACCCTGTCTGAAAAAGACAAGGGGAAGAGCAATCGATGATGACGCCTGAAGCCACCTCCAGCCTCCACACGAATGTATACACACAAGCGAACCCGAAACAATGTTGCCAACACAGAAAGCAATTTAGGCATCCTACCTCAGATCCTGCTGGATCCAGTTTCTGAGACCCTGGCCCTGCCTGCCTACTCCCTGTAGTTCTTGAATTGACAAAGAAGCAGGTACCAGGTGGGAGAGGGCAGTGGCAGTCACTAGGAAAAGTCAAAAGAAACAAAACATTTCCTCCGTTACTGAGCACCCAAGAAAGAAGACAGGAGCCAGGAGCTCTCCCATCCCACCCTTGCTCAGGATGGCCTGGACAGTGTGGGTCCTAATTCTGCCCCCTCATGTGCCATGGTGCAGCTGGAAGCCCCCGAGAGTCCTAGTCTGGATCGGGTGATGGGACCCCAGTGTCTCAGGAGGCAGAAGGGAGCATTCTAGGAACCAGGTGGTAAGGCACCAGTTCTCAGGGACCTCAGGAGAGCTCTGGTTCCAGAGGGCAACATGAGGTTTCGTCTTCCTGATTTTTTTTTTTTTTTTTTTTTTTTTTGTTTTTTCGAGACAGGGTTTCTCTGTGGTTTTGGAGCCTGTCCTGGAACTAGCTCTTGTAGACCAGGCTGGTCTCGAACTCACAGAGATCCACCTGCCTCTGCCTCCCAAATGCTGGGATTAAAGGCCTGCACCACCACCGCCTGGCTCATCTTCCTGATTTTTGAGACGGTCTCACTCTGGAGCCTAGGCTGGCTGGGACTCGATGACTTTGAACCCCTGATCCTCCTGTCTCCACCCTCTGCAGTTCTTGGAAGTTAGGTGTGTGTAACCGCTCCTGGCTGTTCTGTTGGGGATGACATCCCCCTCCCAGGTTTTGCAAGCGCTTACGGGTAAGCCCCGACCCCAGAACCCTGTCTTGTGCTGAGACCAAGTTTCATGTAGCCCAGGTTAGTTCAAACATCTTATGTAGCTGAGGATGACCTTAACTCCTGACCCTCCTGTGCAGCCACGCCCACTTGTACCCTCTTGATAAATGTTAAAGTGCTGATGCCAGGGCCCTGAACATATGGATAACCAAGAGCCGCACTAAACCCTGTCCCCTATCCGCACCCCGTCCTGACAGGGCCTCGGAAATGGGTCCTAGAAGTTCCGAGGATGGGGACCCAGCTGGGTGGGGCCTGTGGAGCTGAGCTGTCCCCAGCAGCAAAATTAAAGGAGCTCTGGCTCCCTCGTGCGCCCTCTACCGGGCGGAGCCGGGACTGCACGAGGCGCCGCACAAAGCCTGCTCCGTACACACCCCTGCAGAGCTCAGCACTTTCTGCATAAGCGCTAGTAGGTGCCCGCTCTATAGCCTTGCGGGGCTCGGCTTTTGCGGGGCTTTTGCCGCGCGCCTGCTTTACCGCGTATAGCGACTGCTGTAGGGACTCTTGGGAAAGAGCCACTCTTCAGGGCAGAGTGCCTGCTGTATACTATCCCTGCGAGGGGATATGCCTGTTGTATGTGTGTGCCATGCTGTACACAGTGCCTGCTGTACGCATGTTCTGCAAGACATAGTGCTTTCTGCCGGGCGGTGGTGGCGCACACCTTTAATCCCAGCACTCGGGAGGCAGAGGCAGGCGGATCTCTGGGAGTTCGAGGCCAGCCTGGTCTACAAGAGCTAGTTCCGGGGCAGACACCAAAGCTACAGAGAAACCCTGTGTCTCGAAAAACCCAAAAAAAAAAAAAAAAAAAAAAAAAAAAAAAAAAAAAAAAAAAAAAAAAAGACATAGCATAGGGCCATGGTGCCTGATGTGCATCTCCCCTTCAGGCCCGGCTCTGTGCACTCCCTGGAGAGTATAGTTCCTGTTGTGTATGTCCTCTGTAAATCAGCGTCGGTGGTGCTGCCGTCCCCAACACTGTCCCCATCTTTGCTTCACTGAGAGGCCCCTTCCTCTCACATCAGGAATTCAGGACTGTCCCTTATTCTTGTGCTGACCCCAGCTGGGCCACCCCTCTCTGTGGCCCCTGTTCCTGACACTCCATGCCAGGCCTTAATTCTTTTCATCTGGGTGATGGGCGTCAGAAGTTGGAGTGATGGCCTGGTGGCCTTCTCCCCTCACTGGCTGCTTAGCTCACAGCTTTGTGTACACAGTGGCTTGCAAAATGACACTAAGTGGTTATACTCGGAGGCGTTTCCAATGGCTGGCCCTTGCTGGGCCCTGAAGCAGGTGTATACAGTAGGCTCTGTGCCCTGCATGGAGTAAATACTGCAGGCAGTCTGCGTTTTAGGGAGTGCATACAGCAGGCACTGCGCCCTGAGGGGAAAGTGCCCGGACCCTGGTCAGCCAGGCGGGCTTCCTAGAGGAGGCAAGTTCAGCGTCCAGGAGCAGCGCAGCCCACACAGCACCGACCATCGGAGTGTTGCAGACTTCCACCCGGCTGCCAGAGGCCGCCACGGAGGGGCTGGGGTTGGTAGAAGCCTTGGAGGATCCAAAAGAAGCTGTCTGGGGAAACTGAGGCGGAGGACTAGAGGCCAGAACCAGGCGCGGGAAGCTGCACTGGCGGCGGGCCTGGAGGGCGGAACCGGGTGGAGCATTGGTGACGGCAGCGCACGGGAATGTGCAACAGGGAGGGTCCCTCCATCCCCAACGGGCATGCGGGCATGCGGGGCCTCTTGAGGGGATGCTAGGGGCCCGGGTGTGGAGTCTGGTTATATAGGGGATATGAAGACCAGGGCGGGGGTCTAATTGGGGGTAACAGGGACCAGGGTGGGGAGGCCTAATTGCGGGTGATGGGGGCCGATTTGGGGGGTCTCTGGGATGGATGGTTGGGATGAGTCGAGGAGCCTGGTTTGAGCGTGTGATGCGGATGGGGTTGATGAGTCTGGTTGCGGGGTGATGCAGACCAGGTCCGGGCACTCAGGATGGGAGGTCGCCCTGGTACACACTATCCCATTCAAAGCCCCAGCTCCGTGCGCATTCCCCGGCCCTGAGTGCGGTGCCCAGAATAGCAACCCGGTAACCCCCGCGCACCGCCCCGCAGCTGGACTTCCCAAGGTCATTGGCATCCAGGATACCAGGACCAATGTTGGGCCACGGCGCTGTCTGGCGCCGTCGGTCAGTCCCCTGCCGCAGCTCCAGGCCCAACCCAAACGCCGGTTCCTACCGCACGAGGGCGCCCCAGGCCTGCGCCCTCGGTGACCCTAGTCTGGGCGCGCCTGGGAGGCCCGGTGGGAGGGACCGACTGAGTTCCCAGTCCCGCACCTCGGGGGCCCCGCTGCTTCCGCCAGTCCCTGGGGCGTCCCAGGGAAGCCTGGACGCCTTGCGTTGGGCTCTGAGCAGCCGGTAAATTCCTCTTCTCATCCTGCCAATACCCCGGTTGGTGTGGCGACAATGCAATTGGCTCCTTTCCCTACTTGGGGCGAAAGCAGTGATCCCTAGGATGGCCGTAAGTTTGGGGTCGCGCTTCCTCTGGGGTGGAACTGAGGCTGAGGACTGGCTTGCCCAGTGACTGCTCCGTCAGTGCAGGAGAGGGGTGTACTGCTCCGAAAAGGGCATAACTGACGTGGATATACGGCCCCCCAAAAGGAGGTTGTGGGATGACCAAATCCTCTCCCCAGCCTCTCCCTTCCCGGGCCAGCCCAACCTCTGGGGCCGCAGAGGGAGGGCTCCCGGCGGCCGTCTTGAAGCAACTCCCCAGGGATTCCAACTTCTACAGCCACCTCGGTCCCCAAGGCGTCCGAAGGGTGGAAATGACAGCGTCAGACTGGCTGACAAACGGGGAGAACCTGGCTCCAGCCGGGCTGCGGGACCCCCGCCTTCCCCTTCATCAGGTACATGGGCCGTGTGGGCTGAGAAATTGAGCTCCTGTGTGCCCTTCAGAGCGCTGGCCCCGACCCCAGAAGGGACTCACGGGGCCTTGGTTCCCGTCCCTCCTGGCTTGTCCTGCCAGGCCCCGATCACGAGGAGGGCGTGGGCCGACAATGACTTCATCCAGTCCTTGTAGATGGGGAAACTGAGGCCTCTACTCAGCCCTACCCGCCCCCTTCCTCTGCAGACCCCCTGGGCATCGCAGCCCACACTCCTGGCAGATGATACCATGATGTTGGAAGGAGGCCAAGTCAGCTTTCCTCTGCCCGCCACAAGGGATCTCCATAGACTATGGGTATCCCGGAGCAGAGAGGTCCCCAGGGGCAGAGCTGGCTGCTCCCTCTACAGGGTCTCAGAGACTCAAGGACACTGCACAGACAGGGAAACTGAGGCCTGAGGAAATGGAATGGTTGGCTCCCAGCCACCCAGGAAGTTAGATGAAACTTGCACCACCTAAACACTGTCCTTAAAAGATTCCTCTCATCGTTGGCACTGGGACCAGCTGTGTGCATTAGAACAGAACACGCTAGCCAGGAGTTGTGGGGCATGCCATTTATTTATTCATTCATTTATTTATTTTTATTTATTTTGTTTTTTCGAGACAGGGTTTCTCTGTGTAACAGCCCTAATTGTCCTGGAACTTGCTCTTGTAGACCAGGCTGGCCTAGAACTCACAGAGATCCACCTGCTTCTGCCTCCCAAGTGCTGGGATTAACGGCTATAAAGTGAGTTCCAGACCAGCCTGGACTACACAACGAGACCCTGTCTCAAACAAAGAGTTGGAAAGATGTTCAGGGTTAAAGACCTCATCCTGTGCTTTAAGAGAACTCACGTTGGGTACCCAGCACCTTGTCAGGCTGCTCACGACTGTAACCAGCTCAACTTAGGGGGTCGATGCTTCTGCCATCTTTGGCCACAACACTAGAAGTAAAAATAAATTCTGTTATTTCGTTTTTAAGGACACAGTTTCTCTGTGTAGCCCTGGCTGTCCTGGAACTCGCTCTGTAGACCAGGCTGGCCTCCAACTCACAGAGATCCGCCTGCCTCTGCCTCCTGAGTGCTGGGATTAAAGGCGTGTGCCGTCACAGCCATCTAAAAACAAGATTAATTTTAAAAAAAGTAACAACGCATAAAATTTCCTAGTCCCCACTGAGTGCCTGACCTGAGCCAATAATCCCCTCAAGGCTTTCCGGAAATGGGGGTGGGACTGTTGTTACCTCATTCTTTTTAGAGACAAGAGGGCCCAGAGAGGTTTAGCCGCCATCCGGGATCACACAGCCAGCCAGGGCTGAGATGGCAACCCACCCTGGTCCCGCTGATCACCGCCTCTTGGGACTTCTGTGCTCCCTCAGACCCCGCCTCTTCCGGAATCTTCTGCTCCTGTTGTGGACCCTCCTGAGCTGTGATTTGAGGGGTACTGCTCAGGTAGGGGGGTGAAGGAGCTCTGGAAGCACACAGGAATGTGGATGGGGGACCCCAGCTCTCCTTCTGGCTGACCCTCCTCTCTGCCCTCAAGTAGGGTCCCGGGGAATGGACGCCCTGGGGGTCTTGGAGCAGGTGTTCCAGCTCTTGTGGCCGGGGCGTCTCGGTGCGCAGCCGCCGTTGTGTCCGGTAAGTCGGGAGCCCCTCCCTCAGCCGCCGCCCGCCCGACCGCGCCCTCTGCCTGCCCACACACGCAGTGTGCCCTTTAATCCCACGGAGCCAGCTGGAATGCGGGTGGGGCTGGTGGGGGCAGGCGATGGGAAGGGGTCCCCGAGAGGGTGGGGGAGTCCTGCTCCGCTCAGAACACCCTTTTCTTCCAGACTTCCCGGGGAGGAACCTTGCTGGGGAGACAGCCATGAATACCGGGTGTGCCAGCTGCCGGTAAACCCCAGAGTCCGCCCTGAATCTCTTGCTTTGTTACACCCACCCCAAATAACCCTCTCGGTGTTGCTGGTCTGACCTACTCGTCTATATCCTCTCCCAGGACTGCCCGCCAGGGGCGAAACCCTTTCGAGACCTGCAATGTGCTCTCTACAATGGCCTTCCCGTTCTGGGTACCCAGAAGACCTACCAGTGGGTGCCCTTCCACGGAGGTGAGTAATCTGACCTCCTGGGATTGAAAAGAAACAGAGAACTTTGAAAAGAGTTAAGAAATACCCACAGAGGCGGGCACTGCAATGGGGTTTTGAAGCATATATAGAGCTGATGGAGGAAAGAAATGGTCCCTTTTACACAGGATCAAACTCCAGGCTATGGATTGGTTTAGAGTTTTATCCAGAGGCCAACAGTTTTCAGACTGGTCCCACTAGCAGGAAATGTTGTCGCACGGAGCTGAAAATAGCAGCTTATATAACTGGGTGCCCGGGGCAGCACGCCTCCAGACTGAAGGGAGACAGGCAGCTTCGGCCACCGGAGGGGTGGAGAGCGTTAGGACTAGCCTAAAACGGAGACCCTTTCATCAACCCTTGGAGCCCTATCCTGTGCCCAAGGCATCGACTAGGTTGGCCTGTCTCCGCCTGCCACCAGCCAGCCTGCAGCGCTTATCTGACAGAGAGGGGAAACTGAGGTACACTACAGGCCGGTAGTACTGCCATACTCCAGGGCTAATAAAGGCAGTTTTATTGGGCCTGAAAGAGAATGAGCGCCAGGAGGGAAGAGGGTTGGGGTATGGAGAAACGGAACAAAGAGGTGTAAGGAAATTTATGGCCAAGAAGTGGTCCTGCATGCCCTTAATTCCAGGACAAGAGAGGCAGAGGCAGGTGGATCTCTGAGTTCGGCCTGGTCTACAGAGCTAGTTCTCCTACAGCCAGGGTTATGTAAAGAGACCCTGTCTCAAAAAAAAAAAAAAAAAAAAAAAAAGAAAAAAGAAAAGAAAAAAAGGCAGAAAGAAAGTACATGGCCTGGGGGGCGGGGGACAGGATGGAGGTTGGCCTTGAAGGGCAGCGCCTGGGGGAAGGAAGCTGGAGGTGAGGGCTGGGGAGCTGCAATGAACTGCGGGTAGGGACTGGTGATGAGTTGAAGGCCCCGGGCTCACGCATCCCTCCCGTCCGCAGCACCCAACCTGTGTGACCTCAACTGCTTGGCTGAGGGCCATGCCTTCTACCATAGCTTCGGCCGCGTGCTGGATGGCACCCCTTGCACCCCGGGGGCCCAGGGCCTCTGCATAGCAGGCCGTTGTCTGGTGAGGACCCCTTGGCCCTGCCCCACCACGGTATTTCCCTCCAGACTCCGCCTTTATATGTGACCCCCCCCCCCCGTCCAGACGGCCTCCGGCCAATTACAGCAGTTCCCGCCCCTACAAACTACTCCGCCCATCGCTGGGGGGGGGAGCCTCAGGCTCCTTCAAAGCCCCGCCCATTTGGCTCCAGGCTCCACCCACTCCGCAAGTTACCTGCTCATAGCTCCTCCCACAGGCTTTGCTCCTAGGGCCTTCTTTCAGATCCCTCCTTCATGTCCAAGCCCCGCCCACCCCGGACCCCACCCACTCCGCTCTGCTCACACTAGGTCCCTGCCGGCACTTTCTCCAGCCCCGCCTCTGCTTCGCCCTTAGCTCCGCCCACTCGCGACGCCTGCTCCGTCTGGTCACGCCCCCTTCCGCAGCCCCGCCCATTCTGACCCAGTACCCTCGCCCCCGCAGAGAGCTGGCTGTGACGGGCTGCTGGGCTCCGGCGCCATTGAGGACCGCTGCGGCCAATGCGGTGGCGCCAACGACTCGTGCCTCTTCGTGCAGCGCGTGTTTCGCGACGCGGGTGACTGCCCCGTCCCGCCTCAGCGCATGCGCTTGAGGAGTAGCGTTGAGAAGGGTGTCCCTTTAACAAGGCGGGCTCCCAGGAGCCAAGACTCTCGTTGATTGGACATTCGGAGGCCCCGTTCCTCGAGCCTTTCTCCTGATTGGCTCATGTCAAAGCGTCCCACCCTCTCTCTCGGGGGAAAAAAAATGCCCTTTTAACCCCTTTCCTGCCTCTTCTCCATAGCTTCTCATTTAATCCGCAACTATCCATCCCTGCTCACATGACTCTGTCACCCAAAGTGCACCTCTCCACTGCGCACCTCAGCTCATCCCTCCCTGTGCACCCCAGAACATTCCTGCGCACCCCAAAGCATCCCCTGTATACCCCAGTGCATCCCGCTACTGTGCACCCCTGAGCACACCCGAGCATCCCAGAAAATCCTGCCTTGCTACACCCCCAACCTCCCGCCTGTCCCAGGTGCCTTCGCCGGCTACTGGAACGTGACTCTGATCCCCGAGGGCGCCAGGCACATCCGCGTGGCCCAGAGCAGCCACAACTACCTGGGTACGGTGAGGCATCAGGGGAAACTGAGGCTGGGGTGTGGGGACAGGCAGTTTCCGCGAGCGCAGGCTGACTGCTTCCTTGCAGCGTTAGTGGAGCGCGATGGCCGCTATGTGATCAACGGCGACGGGGTGCCCAGCCCACCTGGCACCTACGAGGCCGCGGGTACCCGCGTGGTCTACACCCACGGCGTGGGCCCCGAGGAGACCCTGCAGGCGTCCGGCCCCACCTCCCAGGAGCTGTTGTTGCAGGTGGGTGGGAGTGGACGGTTTGAGGCAGGACACCGGGGTAGGTTAACTGGGGAGGCAGGGGTCCGAGGGGAGAGCGGGCCGCCAGCTCCCGCGCGCCCTCCCGCTCCAGGTGCTGCTACGGGAGCCCAACCCAGGAGTGCACTTCGAGTTCTGGCTGCCCCGGGAGCGCTATGGTCCCTTTCAGGCTCAGGCGCAGGCCCTGGGCTGGCCCCTGCGACAACCTCAGCCCCGGGAGGTGGAGCCTCAACCTACCGAGACCCCTGCGGTCCGGGAGGCCATCCCTGCTCGGGATGCACCAGGTGAGATGGGGACAGCGGGAGCGGGGTCAGGCAGGAAGCAAGTCCGGCCTGTGTCACTCACAACACCCTCCCCGTTCCCCCCACCGTAGACCCCTGCGGGCCTTGCCCTGACAGCCGGGGCCGTGCACACCGGCTTCTTCACTACTGCAGCAGCGACTTTGGTGAGCCCCCTGACCTTTGGCTCCTTCTACTGACCCCAATGACCCTTAACTCCTCCTAGATAGTTGCTCTGACCCTCTCCATTGAACTCAGCTGACCCAAAAGCCTTGAGGGTCCACCTGACCCTTGGTGTTACCTTCGCGCAGTATTCCAGGCCCGTGTGCTGGGCCGCCACCGCCAGGCCCAAGAGACCCGCTATGAGGTGCGTATTCTGCTCATCTACAAAAACCGCTCGCCGCTGCGCACTCGAGAGTATGTGTGGGCGCCAGGCCACTGTCCTTGCCCATCACTGGCTCCCCATCGAGAGTACCTGTTGGCTGCCAGACGAGTGGTCAGCCCTGATGGCACACAGGACCGGCTACTGCTGCCCCACGCTGGCTATGCTCGGTTCTGGAGTCCTGCAGAGGAGAGCCGAGTTCGCCTGGCTGCCCGGCGCTGTCCAGTATAAACCCCCGGAGGTCGGAGCCTCATCAGGTGTCCCTGCGACACAGTGACTCAGGAAAATCTCCCGCCTGGATTATTTTGAGACAGGTTCTCACTGTGTATATAACCTTGGCTGCATAGACCAGGCCGGCCTCGAACTCACAGAGGTCCACCTGCCTCTGCCTCTCCAGTGCTAGGATTAAAAGCCGGCCTGCGTCATATCTAAGAACTTTAAGGACCTCCAAGATCCTGGCTACTTCCATCAAACGAGTTTGGTCCATTCCTTCTAAAATTACTATTTAACTTTTACAAGAACTTAGAAAAAGAACAAATCCCTTCCCTGTCACTTACCAGCTGTACAGGCTCAGGGACACCCCAGTAAAGTGGCTGTCACTGTGCTCAGACATGCTCAGACACACCCATTCCCATCTTTTCCTGACACCCCCTGCCAGTGCACTGGACCCATTATGAGACCAGCACAGGACGGATGAGAGACTGGGAGCACACAAGAGAATCGATGACCCTCCAATCCCGCCCTCTTCAGGCTTCTCACATCAGCCACTCAACAAACCTGTCCCCTCTGGGTCCTGTCTCTGTCATATGGTCTAACCTGTCTTCGGTGACCATCCAGGTCTGGCTGGGATCCAGAGGTCAGCGGACTGTCAGCTTTACCCTTGCTCCTCCACAAGAGCTCCTCTGGCCTCTATCCCAAGTCCTCAGTTTTACCATCTGTTAGCTCTGACTGTGTGCGGGAGACCTGACAAGTCGTGGGGAAGCAGTGCTGTTGTGGGAAAGCAATGGGTCACTTTGTTTGATGGTTATGTGATAGTCTTTTGTGGCACCGGGGTGCAGAGAGCACCAAGAACCTCTCCCACATCCCACACAGCGTGTAGCTGGGGTCTACAGGGATCTGTTGGATCCTAGCTCCCCCTGGTGGCGGAACCATGAATTCCCAGGCGGGAAGATGGTCTGCAGGGGCCAGTCCAGAAGGCCTTGGGGACCTCACACCCACCTATAACGGCTGCCCAACCTGACACTAGAGTCCAGAGCAGGGTCATCTCTGCTCGGGTCCTGGCGCTGAGCCCGTACACATGACAGCACGGGTAACCCAGGAGTAGTGGGAAGGCGTAGGTGGCTGGTATTACTGGCGCGTGCCAGGAGCGTGAGGCCTGGCTTTTCCCCTGGGTGCTGCAGTACTGCCCAGACTGCTGATTCCAATGACAGACAGGGAACTGTCCCCCAAAACGCCATTCACCTCAAATTTGGCTCTTTGTGGTAGTCAATAAAGGGGGATGTTTTAACTTGAAAACATTGAGAGTCATTAGTAAACGAAAATGAAGACCGCAGGAAGATACCTTTGCTGGCCCGGGCCTGGGATCCCAGCGGGGAGGAGGGGGATCACCAGGGTCACCTAGGAAGCTTAAGGAGAGCGTCTCAAAATAAAAAGTGGACAGTCAGGCGGTGGTGGCGCACGCCTTTGACCCCAGCACTCAGGAGGCAGAGGCAGGCAGATCTCTGTGAGTTGGAGACCAGCCTGGTCCACAGAGCGAGTTCTAGGACAGGCTCCAAAGCTATAGAGAAACCCTGTCTTGAAAAATAAATAAATAAATAAGACAGAGGGCCTGCCATTGTGGCGCAGATGGTAGAGAGATTGCCTGGCAGGCATGAGAACCTGCGTTCAAACCCTAGGAGCCAGGAAAAGGCTGTGCAGAGGATCCTGGGGCTGATGGCCGGCTTAGCCAGGCCCATGGCTTCCTAGTTCAGTGAGAGTCAGTAAGGTCTCACCTAGCCTAGGCTAGACCCTGGTGTCCCCTGATCCTGTCCTAACCCATACCTGGCTCCTCTGTGGTTTGAATTAAGGGGCCAGGTTGAGGAGCAATCTGGCCTTGACAGGAGGGCCCCTCCTTTCCACTGCCTCATCAATGGCTGACCCGGGTGGGTGGGGCCCACCACAGAGGGGAGGAGCTATTGCCAGTTCCCTTTTGCAGCCCCCCCCATCCCCAACTCTGAGCAAGCTGGATTCCCCCACACCCCTACCGGCCCCTACCCACCCAGACCATACTGTAGTCAGATCATATTTTCAAACCAGCTGCTGCAGCCCAGGGGACCGGCACCCGGGGCTGGGGGAGGCTAATTAGTGGCTGCCCTGGAAGAATCCAGAGCAGAAACTGAAGTCCTCCCCAAGATCTCCAAGTCACTGTAGGTCCTCTGCTCCAGGGACAAGGGCTTTTCATTTTCACTGCTCCTCAAACTTGCCAGGTCCCGTCCCCCTCCCCCACCGTGCCCAGGGCTTTGCACCTCTGCCCTGGGACCTTTGGACATCAGCTCCTATGACCCCTGGCAAACAGCAGTCTTCTCAGTCTTACTTCTGCAATGATTTGCTGAAATTTATTTTTATTACCTTTTTTTAAAAAAAATTCTTAATATGCACATCAGGCTAGCCTGGAACTCACCACATAATTAGTCCTGGCTGGACTGGAACTGCTATGTAGATCAGGCTAGCTCAGACTCAAAGAGGTCCTCCTGCCTGTGCCTCCTGAGTTCTGGAATTAAGGACCTGTGATACTACACCCCGCCCAATACTTCTGAAAAGGTCTCATGTAGCGCAGGCTAGTCTCAAATTCTCACTGTAGCAGAAGATGACCTTGAACTAATAAATGCATTGAGCCCAGTAACCCAAGTTTCTTACTTCCTCCTCCTCCATTCGAATGCACCAAGATGGGGGCAACCATTGACTGCTCTAAGATGTTTCATTTTCTGGAAACTGTGTTGGAGGCATAGAGAGAGGCCACACGTCCCTAGCAGAGCCTTGGGAGAGATTGGGTTACACAAGACAAAGTCACCCCAGGAACAACTCGGTGACAGCATTGTGTGCAAATACATTAGGGTTTATGTCTGATCCCACTGTGATTTCTACTGAATATTCCAATTGAAGAGCTAGGGGTGGATAGGCCAGCGAAAATGAGGGGTTTGAGGCATGGTCAGGTTGGAGCCCCGCCTAGAATCCCCAGTGAGGGGCCGGGGGCGTGGCCAGGAATGGAGCAGTGGTCCAATACTCAGAATCCCTGGATTCCATCTGAGGACTATGAAAATAAAATCCAATTACCAACTGTCTCGGTCTGTGACCCTGGCTGTCTGCAGGGTGCGTCTGGACCTGGCCGGTTCCACACTGGTCCCATGTGCACAGCCCAGCACGCCACCTGCCTAGGCACAAGTGTCAGGTGTGGCCAGAGCTGTCCTCTCACCTGCTTGTGTGGAGAGAGAGGAGGGAACAGACTTGGCCCTAAGTCTATGACGGGATGGGGGTGACTGATGTGTGTGTGGCTATGTGGTCCCTACTGAGACATTCCTGCCTGAGGGAGGGAGGGAGGGAGAGAAAGAGGGAGGGAAGGAAGGAGGGAGGGAGGGGTAAACTGGAAGAGAACCAGAGGAGGGAGGCTCAGAGACCAACAGAAGGGCCAGGAGTTATGTTGCCAAGGAGGACCCCAGCTCAGTTCCCAGCATGCACCTTGGCGGCTTCACACCTGCAACTGGTGCCTCTGTCCATTGCCAGCACCTTATGTACAGATATCAGTGGTGACACACGCCTTTAATCCCAGCACTTGGGAGGCAGAGGCAGGCGGATCTCCGGGAGTTCGAGGTCAGCCTGCTCTACAAGAATAAGTTCCAGGCTTTAGGAGCTCGGCGCCGCCTCATCATGAACGACACAGTAACGATCCGGACCAGGAAGTTCATGACCAACCATCTGCTTCAAAGAAAACAGATGGTTATTGATGTCCTTCACCCTAGGAAGGCAACAGTACCAAAGACAGAGATTCGGGAGAAGTTAGCCAAAATGTACAAAACCACACCAGATGTCATCTTTGTATTTGGATTCAGAACTCATTTTGTTGGTGGGAAAACAACAGGCTTTGGCATGATCTATGATTCTCTCGATTATGCAAAGAAGAATGAACCCAAACACAGACTTGCAAGACATGGCCTTTATGAGAAGAAAAAGACCTCCCGGAAACAGCGAAAGGAACGCAAGAATAGAATGAAGAAGGTTAGGGGGACTGCGAAGGCCAATGTTGGTGCTGGCAAAAAGCCAAAGGAGTAGATCTGCGGTGACTTGATCTGCTGTGGTTTGCAGACAATTTCCCAGAGGACAAATAAACTAAAAGCTTATGAAAAAAAAAAAAAAAGAATAAGTTCCATGAAGGGAAGGCTCCAAAGCTACACAGAGAAACCCTGTCTCGAAAAAAAATTAAAAATCTCAGAAAACCCTGAGAAAGCTTTCTGGTCTTTTGAACAACAGGGAGAGAACTGGTCACCCTCTCTGTAGGTAACACCAATAAACTCCACTCCCAGCCAGAGCGGCTGATTGCATGTCTCTGGCCTGTGGCTACCCCCTCATCTGGAGCAAACACTAATAATGTTTTTCCCACACAGGTGGTTCATCACTGTGACCTCAGAACTTGGGTGGCTGAGGTCAGAGACTATGTTCCCAGCCAGCCTGGGCTACACACCAAAACGCTGTCTCAGGGAAGAAGGGAGGACATGGGTTTTCTGCCTGGGCCTAACCACGTGGTTGGGGTTCATTCCCGATAGTCCACCCAGCAGCTGAGCTGACACACGTGTGAGCCTGAGCCGGTGATTTTATTGCGTGCTTCGGAGGATAGATGGTACACAGGGACCCCAGGTGGTGTTTCATGTGCACCCTGACAGATGTTTGATGGGCTCATGTGGGGCTCCTGTGGAATTCATGGGCAGGTTGAACATGTGGGGGCCCAGCAAGTGGGTGTTTGACTTGGTGCTGTGGCAGATGTCTGACTTTGGTGTGTAGGTGGGCAGTTCTCTTCTGTGGCTCTCAAGGGCAGATGTTTGGTGTGACTCTCACGGTGCTCCAGTGGCTCCAGTGAGCAGGTGTCCAGGCGTGGCCCTAGTATGCCAGGTGTTGTAAAAGCCAGCAGTGTCTCGGGCAGCGCAGCTGGTAACTGGGCCATTTGCAGGTGATCTCCGTGGTGGACTCGGATATGTACTCCAGAGAGGACTCAGAGTGACAGGGGGCTAGGCGCTCGGGCTCGGGCTCGGGCTCGGGCAGCTCTGCCACCTCTGTGGTCTGCGCCTTCGGGTCCTGCTTGTTGTTCTTGGAACCCTCTTCCCCTGGCTCGCTGGGGGGCTTGCTGCCAGCCTGGTTAGGATCAGGGGGTGTGCTGGGTGACTGGGCTCTCGGCGAGCCCTGGTTGGAGACGCTGATGCGCTGTGTGGAGGTGGGTGCAGATGCAGCTGCTGTCGACCGGCCAGCAGGCTGGGCTGATGCCGAGGCCTGAGGGGTCTGCTGGTTGTTTCCCAGGTGCCGGCCCGCTGTCCGAGTAGGTCCTGAGGACCGGCCTGCTGGCTGTGAAGACCCCCCAGAGCGCATGGCCGGTTGAGAGGGCCCTAAGGACGTACTGGGTAGCCGGGTACGCTGTGCAGGCCTGGAAGACATACTGCCTCTGCTGCGATGGCCCCGGGCCTTACTGGGAATCTGGGAGCCACTAACAGAGCCTGTGGCCAGCTGACCCCGGGACGCAGATGCAGAACCTGGGCTGACTGGAGATGGGGACTGCCCATTCATGGCCCTCGATGGGCTTGCTGTTGGCTTGATTGGGCTCGAGGGTCGGCGTTGCTGTTCGGTCTCTGTCTGGGAGTCTGAGGAGTCAGAGAGCTGGGCCTCAACTGTGTGCTCTTTGTCACTGGCCAGGGGCTCTGTGCACAGGCTCCCAGGGGATCTCACTTGTGCTTCAGGAGCAGACTCTGACCTGACTTGGCTGTGGAGAGGAAAGGGACAGTGTGAGCGGGGAGATGAGGAGCTGCTGGGAGTGTGTCATCAGCTCCTCTGCAGAGGCAAGCTGCTCACCCCTGCAGACACTGTGCCCAGAGCGCATGCATACACACATCCGTGGGCACCTGCAAACACATGCCCAGGGCAGCATGCGCAACCAAACATATGCACACTGAATGCACACAACCCTGCACAGCCCCGCCTGCAGTTACGTACGGTCCGGTTCCAGAGCGGCTGGGGGCTCCATTGTTGAGGCTGGGGTGACGAGAGCCCGGCCCCGTGCCAGGGCCTGCAGTACTGGTTTCAGACAGCCAGGGAGAGAGAGGCAGACAGTAAGAGAACAGCAGAGCCAAGCAGGGGGTGGTCGCGATGCAAGATAGGGAGTGTAGCTGGAGCCAGGAGGCTCGAGACAGGCGGGCAGAGAGAGGGTCAGCTGAGACCAAGGAGCCAGCTGGGGCAGGGTGACACTGTCATGCCTGTCATCCCAGTAATCAGGAAGACGAGAAGATCAGGAAGGTCACCCTCAGCTACCTAGTGAGTGGAAGGCTAGCCTGGGCTTCACGAAATAACCGAACTAGCGATGTGTGGTGGCATACACCTTTAATCCTAGCTCTTGGGAGTCCTGGATAGGTGAATCTCTGATTCTAGGCCAGCCTGTTCTACACAGTAAGATTCTGTCTCATAGACAAACAAACAAATCCAGGATCCAGACCAAGCTCACTGAGCATCCACCCTGAATACACACCGTCCCGGGTTATCCCAGCCGCTATGTCCAACGCCCTTCCGCTGAGATTGTTCACCGCGCTGTCTAGGGCCACATGGTGTTTTAGAAATAGTGGTCGTATGACGCGATGGTACAGTATTAGAGCCCCATTCCAGGGTCCCGGAGTCATGCAGAATAACAGGAAGGCGCACTGCGTGGAAACACACCACACTGTCACACACAGGGCCCTGCCCCACACGGGGACACACCACACTGTCATACACAGGGCCCTGACCCACACGGGACACACCACAGTCACACACAGGGCCCTGCCCCACACGGGGACATACCACACTGTCACACACAGGGCCCTGCCCCACACGGGGACACACCACAGTCACACACAGGGTCCTGCCCCACACGGGGACACACCACACTGTCATACACAGAGCCCTGCCCCACACGGGACACACAACAGTCACACACAGGGCCCTGCTCCACACGGGACACACCACAGTCACACAGGGCCCTGTCCCGCTCCTTTGCTGGTCCCTGCCAGAGCTGATGGCCTGCCCACCTTGCCCGCGTAGTAGAAAGGGAACCAGAACAGGAGTAGATCGCTGAAGAACTCGATCAGGCCGAACAGGGCGTACACCACCCAGTAGGTTAGCCACACAGTATCGTCTTCCTTGGCTGGGCTCTCGATAGCTTTGACTCTGTTGAGATGGGAATGCACATGTCTGCTCTCTCCCGAGGAGCTCCCAGGAGCCCCCCTCCCCCACAGGCTGCCCTCCACACTCACGAAGCATATGCGGGGTATACAAATCCGATGACATTGCACAGTAGAGAGGCCCCGTAGCCGAACAGAAGATACAGGCTTAGCAGCGCGAGAGCCCCTGAGGAGACAGCGTGGCCAGCAATGCCTCTGATGCAGCCTGCAGCCCCTCCTCCCTGGGGACACTCTGGGCAGTGCACCCTCGGTCCCATGTCTGCTGCACCTCCCTCATGGGGAGTGCCCCAAAGCGGGCAGGGACCTTGTTCAGCTCCGGGCTAAGGCTCAGTTTTGGTTTTTTCTTCTTCTTTGAGACAGGGTCTCATGATGCAGCCCTGGCTGACCTGCCTGCTTCCACCTCAGCCCTGGGATTAAAACACTCTGCCATGCTGGCTAAGTTTCTGCCTTTTCTGTTTGATTTTTGAGAATGCGGCTAGTTTTGTAGCTCAGGCTGGCTTTGAACTCTGGCTCCTCCTATCTCAGCCTCTGGAATGCTGGGGTGATAGAGTACACAAGGTCATCCTTGGCTACTAGTGAGGTCAGTGCCAGCCTGGGCTACATGAGGCCACGTCTCAAATCCCACTACCTAAAAAGGTTTGGGGGATGATGTGGTGGGTAAAATGCCTTCTGTGCAAGCATTATGGCTTGATTTTGGACCGCAGCGCATACCAACAAGACAAAAATGGGCCACTCCAGCACTTGGCGGAGGGTAGTGGAGACAAAGGCTCCTTGAAGATCATCTGACAATGTTCAGCGAACTTACCATCTCCAGAGAAAATGGAGAGTGGCCAGCCAGAGGGCTCAACAGGTAAAGGCACCTGCCAAGTAATCAGGGACACCTAATCTGATTGTTGGAACATGGGATGGAAGGAGAAAACTCTGTGTGTGTGTGTGTGTGTGTGTGTCTGTCTCTCTGTGTCTCTGTCTCTGTCTGTCTCTCTTTCTCATGCGCGCACTCTAGAAACCCCCCAAACAAGCAAGGTTCCGTGTTCTACAGTTTCACCTGACCAGGACTCTGCACCAGGCTGGATTGTCCACGTGCAGGTATGGCTGGTGCTGACTCCCTGACCACACTGTAGGGAACCTTCTTTTGGCCACTAAGACATTCTCAGCAATGAAGAGCCCGGGGCTCCCACACGCCATTGCCACAGTGCACTTACTGTTATAAAGGGCCACTTGAGAAAGTGCTGGGGGGCACCTGGGGTCTAATCTACTCTAGAGAAGGCCAGAGGCGGGGCTGAGCTGGAGGGGGTGGAAGGGGTTTATCTACCAGAGAGGACCTTTGCCCTCAGGGTAGCTGAGCCTGAGCTGTCTCCTCCTTCCTCCCCCAGACTGTTATCTGCTGGGACACAGGCTTCTGGGTCTAAGGTCAGAGAGTCCGGGCCCCTCCTTCCACCTGCTCTGGGTCTTATCCTGGGATCTGAGACTGAACAGCAGGGGAGCCCCAGCTGGCCCCTGCTGATCAGGGTGACCTCCCATCACTGCACTGAGTCTGAGTGGCCTGCTTCATTTAGTGCCTGGGGGCATAGGATGGCCCTTTGGGGCAGTTGAAACCTAAGATTTCTCTATTTAGATAAGGGTCCTGAAGCAGGAGAGGGACATCACCCTGTCTCCAGCACTGGTGGGGGAAGGGCTGTCCCAGTGTACTGGTCCCCTCAATCTCTTTAACTGCAACCTCAGCAGGAGGAAGATGACCGTGGAACCAAAGCTGTAGGGCAGAGAGGAGGCGGGGACGAGGGCAGCTTTCCACCTGTCCTGACTCCTGTGCCTCAGTTTCCTTCCTGATGCCACCCCTCCCAGGGTACTGTGATGCAATTTCCCTAATGATGTGAAAAGCCAGAACAGAGGTCACAGTCTGTACCTGGAACCTGCACAGCGGGACAACAGGCTGTCTCGGGGTGCTGAGTCACCCCGAGAAGCGGGATATCCTGGGATCTGGGCACAGCCATTAGATCCCACACACACTGGGGTGTGGGGGCCCGCCCTCCAGCTGGTGGGGCTGTCTGTCTGGAGAAGGGGCTTCGTGACCTGTGACATAAGTCCTTCACACAGACCCCATGGTCTCGTGAGTCAGGCTGTAGGATTCTGAAGACATAAAGGGAGCACAGGAAAATCACTTTGGGAAGACACACAGGGGCCCTTACAACACCTGCACAAAGGACCTGGGAATAGAACGGACCTATAATTTGGGTCCTTGGACGGTCCCTCCCTCAGACTCCCCATCCGCCAGATCCCAGCTGACACCTTAGCTCAACAAATATTGACTCAAAGGTATTGTGTTGTGGCAAAGAGGGGGTGCTGGGTCAGTCTTCATGTTCCAGAGATGCATGGGATCATTTCTCCGTGAGAACATTCAAGAAGGGGCTGGGAATGCATAGGGGGTGCTTCTTGTTTCTCCACCCACGCAGGGGCCAGCTGGCCACTGGAAAAACCAGACTTGCAGGGACTTGGGACCTGGCACGCAGGCTGCACGGGAGAGTGCTTCGAGAGCACAGGGAGGTAAATTAAAGTCCCTCTTCTCCAGAATCTAGAATAAAAACCCGCAGGCAGCTCAGAGTCCCCAGATAACATCAGGGTCCATGAGGGAACCAGAATATGTTCCTCTTCCATGGATGGGGTCTCAGGAAATCTTGGTTTCCTGTTGGAGACCCAGCTGTGCACCCCTTCCCATGCAGGATGGAACCCTAAATCCAGGTCTGGGTGCCTAGAATCTTATGAGGCCTTTGACCAGGTTAACCAGGGACCTGAGTTCCCTCCTCAGACAGGGACTCCTTCCCGGTCTGAGTCTTTATGGCCTTGTAGAGGCCCTCAGGGTCCTGGGATGTGAACTCCTTTCTGGTCAGAGTCCCCAGGACTTCACGACGGACCAGGGATGTGAGTACCTTTTAGGGATACCACAGCTAGGTCTGAGTTCCTAGAACCTCCCATAACTCGTCGGAGACCCAAGACTTCAAGGTGCCCATCCCGGGCATGCACCCTTTCCAGGGATGGAACCAAGGACCTCATGTGCCCGCCGGGGACCCGTGACATGCACCCCTCTCCAGGAGGCTCACCCGCGGCCAGATACCGCTTCTCTACACCGGTCCTGGCTTCGAGCGCTCCGAGCGCTTCGGTGGCAACGTTCTTCTGCTCTAGAAACCGCTCGAAGCGCTGGCGCAGACCGTCCATGGCAGCGGCGGGCCCGGGGCAAGCCGCTCAAGCACACCCGCAGCCTCGCGCACCGGCTCCGCCGAGGCCGAACAGCCTTCGACTCCCGCGCGCCCGCCCGCCCTGCCCCCGGCCCGCTACTTGCCGGCCCCGGCCCTGGCTCCGCCCCCGACCCCCGGCTCTGGCCAATAGGAGGGCAAGGCGGACAAAGGAGGTGGGGCCTGCCCCGTTTCCCCCGCCGCATTGCCCTCTGGCCAGGGCGGAGGCCGGCCGGACCGTGAGGTGGCCGGAGGGGGCGGGGCACCAGGCAGCCGGCGCGTTGATTGGTCAAGAGGATTGACGAAGGTGAGGTGGGTGGAGCTAGATGAGAAACAGGTGGGCGGGGTCCGGCTAAAGACAGCGCTGACTGGACAGACGAGAGAAGGCGGGGTTTATCACAAAGGAGGCGGGACTACACTGGATAAAACGATGCTGATTGGAAGATGTGCGGAGGCAGGGCTAATTTTCAAAGGAGGGGCGTGGAGGAAAGTGGGCGGGGCCAAATAAAAGATTGAGGAGATCCCTGTGATCTTGCAACTGCTCCTTAGGCCAGATGGAGGGGTTGTCCTTGTATAAGTTGGGAAACTGAGGCTCCCGAACGCTTAGGTCTGTGTGGATGTCTCTCCATGTGGGATATTCCCACCCCTCCTGGGTGGGGGCAGAGGGAACCGCAAGGCTCCTTGGGAGCTGAAGGAATCTGGGTTGCTATGGTGTCCGGGATGGGGTGGCTTCCTGAGGCCCCGCCCCCCACCCCGCCCCCCGCTATGCGGCCCTTCCCAACCGCGCTGTGGCTGGGTCTGGCTTTGGCCCTCCTGGCTGTGGGGTGGGCTTCAGCCCGGGCCCCCATCTATGTCAGCAGCTGGGCCGTGCGGGTGACCAAAGGTTACCAGGAGGCTGAGCGCCTGGCACGTAAATTTGGCTTCGTCAACCTGGGACAGGTGGGTGGGACCTGGATGGATGGGACCTGGGGTGGGGAACTTAAGGACCTCAGATCTAGACATATGGGAGGGGGTTCCCAAGATCTCCCCAGATACGAAGAATCTGTGTCAGTGTGCCCCCTCCATGTTCAATTCGGGATCCTGCAGCCCTCATCTGGGCACCTCATTGAGGCCTAAAATGCCCCGGAAAGTGCACTCCATCCTTGGGGACTCTATCAAAGGAGCCAGGTCCCAGCAATGCTTCTGTCCATCACATTTCCAGATCTTCCCTGACGACCAGTATTTCCATCTACGACACCGGGGTGTGGCCCAGCAGTCCCTGACCCCACACTGGGGCCACCGTCTGCGCCTAAAGAAAGAGCCCAAGGTGAGTGAGCCCCTGTTTGCCGTCTCCTAAGGCCAACCAAGCCACCTTCTGTCACTCTCGTTTTTATGAATGACCCGTAGGTTTGTGAAGTGGGACCTGGTTGGGGAAGCCATGAAGCATGGCACCTACCACAACACGGCATTTGTGGGGAGCTCTTACTGAGGGCCCCTGCCCAGCTTCTCAAGGACAGAGCTCTTCTCATGCTGGTCCTTCCCGCTCCAAGCCGTAAGATGTAGGGAAGGAACTGTGCCCAAGAGAAGAGCCTGGAGTGGATGAGTGTGTGGCGAATCGGGCGCAGAGCCCGTGTGTTTCGGGCGTTCCTCTAGGTCTACCCACATTAGGCCAGTCCTCCACTGGGAACAGCCCGTAGATGGCATTCAAGGAACTGGCACGGAGTTGTGGCAGTGTGCGCCATACAAGATTACGAGATACACCGAAGAAGCGTTCATCTTCAGCACCAGGAGCTGTATGAGTTGCTGTCCTAGTGCAGTGACAGAAATGCCACAACCAAGGCAGCTTAGAGAAGGAAGGTTTATTAGAATTACGGCATTAGAGGGTGAGTCTGTGCCCACCATGTCGGGGAACATGGCAGCAAGCAAGCGCACGCTGGGGCAGTGACTGCTGGCCTCCATCCTCATTGACACTCCTTCTCAAGGCCATATACATTTGTAAACTAGCTGTCAGAGCCTGTGGGACCCTTCTTGTGAAAATCTCCCCAGGGACTAAGTGTCTTCAGAGGCCAGAAGAGAATAGAATCAAATGGGGGGATTCGGGCATTAGGGCGAAGGGACGAGATGAGTTGGATGGGTGGACGGACAGATAGATCAAGTCAGGTTACCCAGGAGAGCGCCGCTCATGAGAGTAAGAAGGAGGTGTGAGGAGGCTTGAGCTGGTGTTGGCAGAGCATCGTGCAAAAGACCTCGCTCAGGGAGGAACAGGCTGACTCCAGGAGACCAGAGGGGAGGTGACGGGCTGAGGCTCAGTGGGCGGAGCACTTGTTCAACAAGCTGGTTCCATCCAGTGCACTTCCACCAGGCGTGGGAGCTCACGCCTGTCATCCAGGCACTAGAGAAATGGAGGCAGGAGGGTCAGGATTTCAAGGCCATCCTTGAGTTCAAGACCAGCCTCAGCTACGAGAGCCCCTACCTCAGGAAACAGACAGAGAGTGACATGGTTCAGAGGGTAAGGCGCCTGCTGCCCAGCCTGGCTGAGCTCAGTGCCCAAGATCTACAGAGTGGAAAGACAAAACGGGCTTCCATGGTTTTATAAGATTTACATTTTTTTTTTTTTTTTGAGACAGGGTTTCTCTGTGGTTTTGGAGCCTCTCCTGGAACTAGCTCTGTAGACCAGGCTGGTCTCGAACTCACAGAGATCCGCCTGCCTCTGCCTCCCAAGTGCTGGGATTAAAGGCGTGCGCCACCACCGCCCAGCCTAAGATTTACATTTTTTAAATGTGTATTTCTTTTGACTAATATGTATTAGTGTTTCTCCTGCTTGTCTGTATACCACGGACAGATGCAGGTGCTGAGGAGGTCAGAAGAGGGCGCAAGATCACTTGGAACCTGTCCCAGGTGGTTGTGAGCTGCCATGTAGACACAGGAGATTGAACCCTGTCCTCCGCAAGAGCAGCCAGTGCTCTTAATTACTGAGCCATCTTCCAGCCCCGATAGTTCTTTGGCTTTCACATATGCTCTGGTGCACATACACACAGAGGAGAGAGGAGGGAAGAGGGAGGGGAAGAGGGGGGGGAGGGCAGAGAGGGGGAAGAAAGAGAGAGGGAGGGAGAGAAAGGAAAGGGGGGAGAGAGAGGGAGGGGGAGAGAAAGGGGAAGAAGGGAGAAAGAAGGGGAAGGAGAGGGGGAGAGAGGGGGGAAGAGAGGGGAAAGAGTGAGGGGGAGAGAGAAGGGGAGGGGAGAGAGAGAGAACAAATGAAAAACAAGAGAGAACAGACACACAAAGGCAGTGGAAGCTGTCGTGGAGTAGGGGTGTTCTGACCCAGAAACTGTGTTGAGGTAGTGGATTTTCAAAGTTCTGCTGGGTTGGGGGTGACCTCAGCTTCCAACAGGGGATTTCCAGGCCAGCCGTGGCTATGCAATGTGACCTTGTCTCAAAACAAAAACTAGTGCCGCAGGAGGGAGTCAGCAGGACTTGGCAAGAAGGAGTAGGTGGGGACCAGAAGACCCACACCCATCCCCAGTGGCTTCCTGCAGGCGTTCTCAGCCTCGGCAGTTTCTGAGAACACGGCTTGAGGAGCGTGGGCACCCGAAGAGCAGTTCAAGCCAACATTCCTGTCTCTCAGCACCTCCATGGAGGCTCACCGCCCTCCTGCTGCATCCCACACCAGCACAGCCTGTGTCCCCTCTGCAGGTGCAGTGGTTTGAGCAACAGACTCTGAGACGGCGGGTGAAGCGCTCCTTGGTGGTGCCCACGGACCCCTGGTTTTCCAAGCAGTGGTACATGGTAAGCACTTGGGCTGGGCCGAGTGGACAGGGGCCAGCTTGAACCCCACTGACCCCAGGTTCATCTTGGTCTGTTTTAGAACAACGAGATACAGCCAGATCTCAACATTCTGAAGGTTTGGAACCAGGGACTGACCGGCCGGGGAGTGGTGGTCTCCATCTTGGATGATGGCATTGAGAAGGACCACCCCGACCTCTGGGCTAATTATGTAAGTACCAGGCTGGGGAGAGGGCTCAGAAGTCAGGAGCACTGGCTGTTCTTCCTAGAGGTGCCCTCTTCTGGCCTGCAGGTTTAATGCAAGCAGAACACTATACATAATTATGTGAGCCCTTCAGGGGTCTGGGCAGCAGGGCTGGTCCCAGATCCAATCAGGTTCACCTCCTTCCCATCTTTCTTTCCCTGCCTGCTCTCCAGGACCCTCTGGCCAGCTATGACTTCAATGACTATGACCCAGACCCCCAGCCTCGCTACACACCCAGCGATGAGAACCGGTAAGCTACGCACTGGTGTACCAGGGATTCCCTCTGCCGGTGGAAATGCCACCGTGGGCTGTGACATGGCTACTTTCCTCCTTGCCATGGAATCAGGCATGGGACCCGCTGCGCTGGGGAGGTGTCTGCCACAGCTAACAATGGCTTCTGTGGTGCTGGTGTGGCCTTCAACGCCAGAATTGGAGGTACCAGGGGTGAAGGCTAGGGGATGTGAGGATAAGCTTGATCAATAGAGGAACGCCACTCCCAACCCCTCCCCCGTTCCCACCACGGGTTGCTGGGCAGTGCCAAGCCCCAAGCTGAGCGTGACTGAAAGGTGGCAGGGAGGTAGCCTAGCAGGGCAAGCAGTGTTGGTGCTGGCGCAAGGCCCACGCCCACCCGCGCAGGCGTGCGCATGTTGGACGGCACCATCACGGACATCGTGGAGGCGCAGTCCCTCAGTCTGCAGCCGCAGCACATACACATCTATAGCGCCAGCTGGGGGCCCGAGGATGACGGTCGCACGGTGGACGGACCAGGCATCCTCACTCGGGAGGCCTTCAGGCGTGGCGTGACCAAGGTGCACAGGGAGCGCACCGTGGGCGGAGGGGCCCCAACCCTGAGGTTGAAGGGCTGACTCCCTTCTCCGGGGTCACTTCCCACGCAGGGCCGCCAAGGACTGGGTACACTGTTCATCTGGGCCTCGGGAAACGGTGGCCTCCATTACGACAACTGCAATTGTGACGGCTACACCAACAGCATCCACACGCTGTCGGTGGGCAGCACCACGCGGCAGGGTCAAGTGCCCTGGTACAGTGAGGCCTGCGCCTCCACGTTTACCACCACCTTCAGCAGCGGAGTGGCCACCGACCCACAGATCGTGAGCACCCAGCCAAGCCCGCAGCAAGGCCCCGCCCCCGTAGAGGCCTCACCAGACCCCGCCCCCAGGCTTCAACCTGGCAGATGGCCCACCCATAAGACCTAGCCCACACAGGCCTGCCCCTCTCGACCCGGCTCGGGCTCACAGCCCCTCCGACCCCCTCCAAACTAGCAACCATGTCGGCCCACTTAGCAACTCCTCTGCCTCCCTGGGCAAGATCCGCGCCAATGCCTCTGCTGGAGTCGGCTCCCTGGTCTCGCACGTCACACACGGGGCCTCTGCCCCCTACCCACCTGGTGCCTGCAGTTGTGCTTCCTGCCTCCGCACTTCTGTCCCCCGGACTGAAGTCTCAGAATTTGGCACTTTTTCTTTTCTTGGTGTTTTCGAGTCAGGGTTTCTCTGTGTAACCGCCCTGGCGGTCTTGGAATTCGCTCTGTAGAGCAGGCTGGTCCCGAACTCAGAGTTGACTGTTCTTGCCTCCCAAGGGTTGGGATTAAAGGAGTGCGCCACCACTGCTGGGCTGGGTTTCGTTTTTTTTTTTTTTTTTTTTTTTTTTTTGAGATGTAGGGCCGTGTATCATTATGAACTCAGTGCTCGGTGGTTTTGGAAACTAGTCCTTAGTCCTCAGTACTTGTTAAACTTAGTCATTCGTATTCACCATACATAAACCAGGCTAGCCTAGAAGTCCCAGCTACGCCTGCCACAGCTCCACAAGTGCTGGGTTTGAGCGCCTGCATCACCCGGCCCTGCTGGGGCTTTTAGTACCCTTTGAGCTTAGTCCTAGGTGTCTTCATACTTAGCTCAATCTTCAGCACTTTGTGAACTTAGTCCCCAGTACCTTCCAAACAAATCCTCCATCTGGGCCGCGCACTGGGCTCAAGATCCCTCTGCTGTCTGTCACCAGGTCACCACGGACCTGCACCACCAGTGTACCGACAAACACACGGGCACCTCGGCCTCCGCCCCGCTGGCCGCTGGCATAATCGCTCTGGCTCTGGAGGCCAAGTAGGTGACCGTGGGGCCCCGCCCACCGCCCCGCCCCCACGGGCGGCGCCCGGCTCACCCGCCCTCGCCCCCCCAGCCCGCTCCTGACCTGGAGGGACCTACAGCACCTGGTGGTCCGCGCGTCCAGGCCGGCGCAGCTGCAGGCGGAGGACTGGAGGATCAACGGCGTGGGGCGCCAAGGTGCGGCGGGGCCAGGGAGGGGACCGGGGTCCCGTGCATGCAGGGCGAGTGACGGCTACCCCTCCCGCGCAGTGAGCCACCACTACGGCTACGGGCTGCTGGACGCAGGGCTGCTGGTGGACCTGGCTCGCGTGTGGCTGCCCACACAGCCACAGAAGAAATGCGCCATTCGGGTGGTGCACACCCCAACGTGAGGGAGGCCCCGCCCCCACCCCACCTCACTAGGGGAAGCCCCAGCCACGCCCACTGGAGGGAGGCCCCCCCACATTCCAAGGAGGCAGGGAGGATGTCCCAAAACCTCAGTTTACCCATCTAAGGGAGGAGAGTGCCCTCAGGTCCTTCGACCCCCTACCCCCACCCAGACCTGCCACTGGGCCCACGGCAGGCCCCCAGGACCGTCCTCACCTTACCAGCTCCATCCTGCCTCGGATGCTGGTGAGGAAGAACGTGTCCGCGTGCTCCGATGGCTCGCACCGCCTCATCCGCTCGCTGGAGCACGTGCAGGTCCAGCTGTCACTCTCCTACAGCCGCCGTGGGGACCTGGAGATCTCTCTCACCAGCCCCATGGGCACACGCTCCACGCTCGTGGCCATCAGGTGTGAGATCCTCCCAAGGGACCCTGTGGGCTAGTGGAGTCCTGCGTAGCCTCCTGCAGGTGGTACCCTATGCGGGTGGGACTCAGAAGACACGTGTTAGCCACCATCCTTCCTGTCTCTCCCGTGCCACCCTTTGGCCACAGACCCTTGGATATCAGCGGCCAAGGCTACAAGAACTGGATCTTCATGTCCACCCACTACTGGGATGAGGACCCACAGGGCATGTGGACCCTTGGTCTGGAGAACAAGGGCTACTATTTTAACACAGGTGAGAGAGTGGGCTGTGGCTGCCAGGCTGTGGCTGCCGGGCTGTGTTTTGGTTGACCTACAGCTACAGGTCCCACAACCCAGTGGTTTTCTCAGAGAGTCCATGTAACAGTTACTTTAGCACACAGTAGGTGTTGTTACCTAGAGGATGGTTGAGTCCCAGTCACTGGTACACAGTAGGGCAACGTGGGGGAGGGAGGCTCTGGCCACTGGCACACAGTAGGTGTACTAACCTGGGGGAAGTGTGGATCTGGCCATTGGTGCATAGTAGGTATAAGGTTCCCTGAAGGAAGTGGATGGTGGTGGGGGTCGGAACACAGTGGCACACAGTAGGTGCAGTCACCTGAGGAAAGGAGGGAAGCCTGGCTATCGGTACACAGTAGGTGTGCAAAAACCTAGAAGAATCACGGGGGTGGTCTGACCAGGGGTAAGTAACAAGTTATTATCTACTGGAGGGGTATAATGAGGTCTGGCCACTAGCACACAGTAGGTGACTCTACCTTGGGAAGCTGGGGAGTCTGCCACTAGCACACAGTAGGTGCAGTTGTCCTGAGGAAGTGAGGGCCTCCAGCCACTGGCACAGTAGGTGGATAGCAGCCAGACTCAGCTGACATGGCCCTGGGTAGGAGCCACTGAGACTGGCTACAGAGCCAGGCAGGCCACTGACAGCATGTCCCCCTTGGTGCCCACCATGACCCCTGCCCAGGAACTCTGTTCTACTACACGTTGCTGCTGTATGGGACGGCCGAGGACATGACAGCGCGGCCTCAGGGCCCCCAGGTGACCAGCCGCACGTGTGTGCAGAGGGACACAGAGGGGCTGCGCCAGGGTGAGTGGCCGCAGCGCATGGTCACTTGTTGGGGGAGGAGGCGCAGCAGCCCCGGGATGGGCGGGCGGGCACTGGCTGTACCTCCAGCTGCAGCCTCATCCCTGTCTCCCTTCTGCCCCGTACAGGAATTCACGGTTCCTCCACCACCCTGGCCTGGCTCTGCCTCATCTCTAGCTGAGAGTGATGGTGGCTCTACAGCCACACAGAACAGCCAGTGACCGAGATACAGGCCAGCTGTCACCCTCCTCTTCACCTGCTGAGGCAGCTGACCAGCAACTACGCTGCCTGTCCCCTGTTCTTCATGCTGGATGAGCTCCAGGGCTCCTCCAAGGCCTGCTACCTCTGGCGGCCATCCCAGCTACCAGTTCTGGGCCATGATGCTGGCCCGGCTGGCCAGGGCCTTCATGGAGACCCCTCTCGGCTTGAGGAAGGCCCACCTACCCTAGGCTAGACACCCCAACGCCCGAGACCCTGAAGGCTGGGGAACCAGAGATGCCTGACTCAAAGAACAGAGGGCGGTACCCGAAGGCCCCGCTCCCAGGCTGGAATAGGACCCTGCCCCAGAAGGCTTTGGCAGATCAGCAGCAGCCCACTGTGTGGGCCATAGCTACGCCCAGTGGAAGAGGTGTCTACTTACGCATTTTGGAGCAGGACAAGGGGTGCAGTGGGCAGAGGTCAAACCACAGCCACTAAACATCTATCCCTTCCTGCCCAGAACCGTCCACAAGCCCCATGTCTGACCTCATAGTTGGCAAATAAAAGTTAGATGTCAAGTTTGTGGTGTCCTTCAGGGTAGGGGGGTGCCCAGGGTCACCCAAATAAGACAAGGGCCCCTGGAGGACTACAGAGCTATAAAGGGAGTAAAGAGACTACTCCAGGCCCAGAGACCCCCGGTGGGAGGAGAGAGCCCTGGGCCAAAGTACAGCCCACCGCCCATCCCAGTGCCGAGATAAAGCACAGCCACGAGCAGAAGACTAGCTGAGGTACCACAGCCACGAGCAGACTAGCTGAGGTACCACAGCCACGAGCAGAAGACTAGCTCTTTTCTCCCTTTCCTTTCTTTCATTGATGTTGGTGCTGGTTTTCAAGACAGAGTAATTAACTCACTCTCGACCAGGCTGGCCTCGAACTCAGTGACCTGAGTTCTCTGCCTCCTAAGTACTGGGATTAAATGCGTGTGCCACCACTCAGGACAAGGAAACAAGGTTCCTGGAATACGTTACCCTGTGGATAGGCACCACCCAGTATTTATTGAGCGCCCACTGTGTACCTGGCAGTGGTTAGTTTCTGCCCAACCAGGGGGACGCGAACTCACGCTCAGCACTCGCGCCTCCTGCCATTCGTGGTCAGGGGAAGCTTTTGATCCTTTTAGACAGCTCTTAGGAACGTCTAGGCTTAGGGCTCTTTAAGACCGGGGAGGGGTTTCCCGAGGAGCGGAGTTGGAGAGGACCGGAAGTGCAAGAACGCAGCTGGGCTCAAACAGGAAGCGGAAGTGGTGGCGACTTAGAGTAGGGGTTTTAGGGGGCTCAGTTAGCCCGGATTTAAACCAAACTCTGAGACCCCGGGAGAGGAGAAGGCGAGACGAGGAATGGGCCTCGGCACAGGGCCATAACGGGTGCATAGAGGTTCGCAGGGTGGGAAGGCCAAGTGGAGAGCGGACCTGCTGCCAGCGCGCGCTCCTCCGCCTGCAAGATGAGCTCCAAAGGCAAGAAACGCGTGGTGCTGCCCACGCGCCCCGCGCCGCCCACGGTGGAGCAGATCCTGGAGGACGTGCGAGGGGCGCCCCCCAACGATCCTGTTTTCACCGCCCTGGCCCCAGAAGGTAGGAGAACGCGAAACTGCGGGGTCCCAGCCTGTCCGAGTCGGGAGCAAACCTGATTGCAGCCAGGCCCCAGGGACGAATCTTTTGCTTCTCTGCCAGCGGCCTCTCTGACTCTGTCAAGTGGGGTCACCAGAAGCAAAGGTGAAGGGCCGGCGAGCTTGATGACTTAAGCCAACCTAGGAGTCGGGGGCGGGAGGATTGAGACAAGTTCAAGACCTTGTCTCAAAGGGAAAAAGGAAAAAAGCCCAAGCCCAGTGGCTCCTACGTGGAAATCTGGGGAAACGATACGTGCAGGGGCTGTTTTCTGTGATTCCCCTAGAATCCAGGAACCTAAGCAGTCCTGGGTGGGACATCAAGGGTCCTGTTCTCTGGATGACTCCGAAGCATGGGGTTTTGTCAGGCCTGTAACTGATTCTATTCTCTAGGGCCTAGACAGGTCTCATGTAGCCCAGGCAGGGCTCCAACTCACTGTGTAGCCAAGGACGACTTCCAACCCCTGACCCACCGTTTCTCCTCTCCAGAACCCCCAGATCTATCTCCAAGGGCCGAGGACCCTGAGGCCCGGCTCGAGCAACTCTACCAACAAAGCCGGGCCTATGTGGCCATGAACGAGAGGCTGCGGCAGGCGGGGGACACACTGAGGCAGAAGTTCGAGGACCTTCGGCAGGCTGATAAGAGGCTAGAACAGGATGTTAGCCAGGTGACCTCAGCCACCTCCTAGAGTTGAGGCTATACCTGAGGCCGTCCGTCCAGCGCCGGGCAGCCTTTGTTCCCTCTTCCATCCTTGATGGCCTCCAAGTTGGGGTGGGACTTACGGACATGGCCACCTCCTCATTCATGGGGGCATCAGCCTGGATGGCGTCTAGGACTTGACGGAGGTCGGGGCTCAGAACCAACCTGCCCCAAGGTGGCCAGCTCCCACTTCCGCCTCATGTTGGCCTGGGCAGCGAGGGTCTCCATCCCCAGCATCTGCAGCAGGCCAGAACCTGTATGTCCAGCCTCACCGTGGTTGACTGCCTCCTGGCTCGGGTCCTGCAGGGTCCTGCTGTCTTGCCTGCTCTCTGGTCTCATCACTCTGGGGAGTCCAGGAGTACGGGAGGAGCACAAAGACGGGGTGACAGTGCACGGATCCCTGCGGGGGCCTGTGTCCTGCAGGCTCTGCTGGACATCCACAGGACCCCTCTGTGGTGGACGTTACCCTCTGGACTGGGGCTTCAGTTGACCTTGCTGACCCGCTGCTCTGAAGTGAGCAGGCTTTGTTTTTGGAAAATCAGATAAAATTCTGGGTCTCACACACACACACACACACCCGTGAGCTGGACCCTGGATCACTGGGGCCCAAGTCCACTCCAGCCCCTTTGCACCTTAGGCACTGGCCACCCCACACGCTTCCTCACGTCCCAAGCTGACTGGGACTGTGTTTTCCGAAATGGCCTTGGCTTATGACTTATTCCCACCGTTCCCATTCCTAATGGTCACAGACTGTTTACTCTGGGTTCCCGGATCCCAGCCCCCACAGGTGGTCAGTGGCTGATGTCCAAAAGCAAATGGCCAGGTGTGGTTTGGCTGACCCTGACGCGACCTTGGCTCTAGCAAGTGTCTGTCCGCAGGGAGCTTGGGCCCCTGCGCCAGCGCCTTGTAGCTGCAGTAGAAGGTTCTAGAATGACCTCCCCCATCCAGAGCCTGTGTTGACGATTAACAGCCCAGAGTGACTCAATGGCTTGCTTTATTAAAGATGTGAACGAGAACCAGAAGCCAGGCTGGGTGTCCTGCCAGGTTGTCTACATGGGGTGGGGGTCAGTATGTACAGAATATTAACCCTGTAGGACGGGACAGAGGGGGGCAGCGGCAGAGGACAAACCAACCAGGTGTGAGCAGGGGGGTGACATTGGCCGCCGGACAGTGTGAAAGACAGGACAGGAGGCGAGGTAATCGGGCGTGTCGCCCTGTTCAAGCACCCAGTGGACCACTGGTCTCCAGCTCAGGGTGCCTGCAGCCATTGCCAGCCTGGAGGACAGCAAACACTCCAGAGGCCGACTGGCCCTGCCCCCTGGCTTTGGTTAACCCTTCAGAAGCCACTGTTCCATGCCAGCTCTTCCTACCCTGGTCTGGATGTTGCTCTGTAGCTTGTGTGTCCTCCACTGTGTGGGGTGGAGAAGGCAAACATGGCCAACAGGGCAGGAGGCTAGAAGAATGATGGGCCTTGCGTGCTGGTGCCATGGTCCAGCATCTGCTCCACCTGGGGTCTCACAGTGTGTGGGTTACAGGTTCAGTCTGCAGGTAAGGTTCCCCCTCTCCAGCCCCAGCTGGACATCTGCCTCCTGCTGTGTCCCACCACGGGGGCGCCCTGAGGTGCGGGGTGGGTATGAGCTGGGGTCTCAGAGTCATCTTGCTGCTTTAGCTGCTCCTTGTCAGTCCCCCACAGAGCCCTGTCCAGCAGGCAAGGTCCTGGGATTGAAGACTTGGTGCCTGGTGTTCCTGCTGTGGAGTCGGCTGTAGTGGTGCCCCCTAGTGGTCAGTGTGCCCAGGTGTGATGGCAATAGGTGATTGTGGATCTGTCAATCCCCCATAAGAAGGACTTGGGGATGCCCCCTAGTGGTCAGTGTGCCCAGGTGTGATGGCAATAGGTGATTGTGGATCTGTCAATCCCCCCATAAGAAGGACTTGGGGAGGGACAGCAGCGTCTGTGGTCCTTCCCAGGACCTTCTTAAAACCACTTCCCTCAGCAGGGGCTTGAGGCCAGCTCAAGGAGCAGTGTCCTTCTCTGGGAGCAATTCCTGCCCATGGCTGTGGTTACAGGTCCTACAGGAGAGAGGTTGTTGGTGCTCTCTGCAGCAATACACACTGAGCTGAGACCTGGGTCCTCAGAGGCCTGCCTACCTTGCTCTTATCGGCCTCCATCTTGATCCCTGTTTTCCTGCCTGGATTCCAGACTTGGTGAGCCAGGGATGAGGATCCTACGCCCTGACACTTCCATGGGAAGGACCAGGCTCCTCCCCGCGGTCGCTGGCTGCCTAGGCCTGCTCCCTTGAGCCCCCAGAGCTGTCCAGCTGGCAGCCAGTGTGTCCTCAGAACTAGTCCCTCCTCTGATAGTGAAGGGACACAGGGCCAGCGGGTCCCCAGCGCCACCCTTGGCGATCTCTCCGCAGCCATGATGAAGATGAAGGAGTGGTTGGTGAGCAGCTTGGCCACGCCCCTCACCCAGCACTCCTCAGCTGCCTCTGGGAAGGCAAACACGCCTGGCAGAGTCCTCATTAACCAATTACCCCAGCACTAATTACAGGCTGGGCCGGGCTGAGGGAGCGCCAGCTGCCAGGGTTTCATTACCCTCACCACAGCCCGTGCCCGCCCACCCACTGGATGCAGCCCAGGGCAGGTCCTGCATAGAGCCTACGGTTTCTGTGCCTTGTGTCTGTCTATAGCCGATCCCCTCAAGCCCCAGGCATAGAAGCAAGGGCTGGCTCTAAGGTGCAGAGAAGTGAGCTGGACGGGAGCTCTGAGGGCATAGCTGTGCCTACTCAGGGCATCTGGACAGCAAGCCCCCTGGGAAGCCAGACTGTGCCACGGGGCGAAGAGAGAATGTTCCAGAAGGTTGGCCTATACCCACTACTCCAGGAGGCTGGCTGGAGAGGCAACAGGGGCTTTCGCCATGGCAGAGTCGCTGGCCGCTGTGGCTACCACCATAGGGCTGGGCACGTAGTTGAAGGGGGGAACTCGTGCAGCCCTGCTGGGGGACCCATGCCTACTGGTGGGAAAGCCCCCCATGACAACACTCAGGCCCTCATGGGTGAAGGGCGCTGAGGCAGGTGGCTTGGTGAGGGCTGGCCCGTCCACATCGCTGCCCAATGGAGCCGCAGGGCCGCTGGCTGGAGCCTGAGGGGGGTCCCTGCTTTCCAGGCTGGGCGAAGTGCTGGAGTTGGTCTTAGGGGTGGCAACATCCTCTGTTTGTACCACTGCGTCACTGGTCTTGCGCTGTGGAGTCCCAGCAGGGCCGTCCTCAGCAGGTGATGGACCCCTGAGGGGCAGGGCAGTGGCAGGCAGCGTGCTACGAAGGATGTGGGGGACATCTTCATCTTTGATACGACGCCAGGTGGTCCCAGGTGCAGCCACCCTGGGCAGTGGCCTGGTCTCTCCATCACTTCCCCGGCGAGTGGTATTGGCATGGATGGTGGGCACAGAGCCTGCGTTATCTGACCTGCGGGCGATGCTGATGTGTGGCAGGGACGCATACCGCTTGACTGTCTCAGGCCGCCCAGGAGGTCCCCGCACAGGCAGGCGGGAGGGGCTCTCAGAGCTTGTGCGCCTGGGCACCCGTGGAGCAAGACCTGGCTTGGCCAGGGGCTGCCGTGGGGACGCGCGCAACTCATCACAGCGAGAGGAGCAGAGGAAGACAGCAGGGAGCGCAGGCCTTCCGCGGCGGGGCGAAGCATCCTGGGAGGTGG